GCTCTCTCTCTCTCTCTCTCTCTCTCTCTCTCTCTCTCTCTCTCTCTCTCTCTCTCTCTCTCTCTCTCTCTCTCTCTCTCTCTCTCTCTCTCTCTCTCTCTCTCTCTCTCTCTCTCTCTCTCTCTCTCTCTCTCTCTCTCTCTCTCTTTGCTTTTGGCAAAAAAAAAAAAAAAAAAAAAATGTCAGACGCTCCGCCCACCCGAAATGACGCAAACAGTCGAAATAAAAACCTCAAAAACATGCAGATGGTGCACATCAAGCAAACCATCAAATGGGGCTTCAATTACAATGGACAAGGGGGTCCGGGGCTGGATCGCAGACGAGAATGGTAGGGAAACGCACACAAAAGACCCAATGAAAATCATACTTGCACGCTCGTCATTGTGGGCCGCTAGACCAGGAAACGAATCAAGCCTCAGTTTCCAAGTCGGAATTGTCGGCATGATCGTTCAGCACGCGATGCTTATTGTCTGACCCATTGGACAAATGTGCGGGTACCTTGAATTGGGTCAGACCACGGGCTGCCTGATCCCCGCGCGACTCCGACGCGCGCTGCGACAGGAAGCTCGCGCGCCGCTCGCGGTCCGTCAGGCTCATTGATTGCTGCCATGATGGGTACAAGAAACATGATCAGGGTGGGGAAGTTTAAAGTGTTGCCAATAAGCTCTGAAAGGACAAAGTTTGGTCCACATACCCGACGAGCTGCTTCCTGGTTGTTGCGCATGGCATCTTGAACATCGGCCAAACGCGTAGAAACAGAGGTGCGACGCGAACGCTCTTGATTCAACAGGTTTTCGCTGATAGCCTGTGACACGGCCAGCACAAAACAAGGCACATGAACTTGGTGTGTGTGTGTGTGTGTGTGTGTGTGTGTGTGTGTGTGTGTGTGTGTGTGTGTGTGTGTGTGTGTGTGTGTGTGTGTGTGTGTGTGTGTGTGTGTGTGTGTGCGCGCGCGTCGAAGACGCAGACGGAAAGCGCCACCAAGACAAGCCTGACATCTGACCTTGGCAGCTTCTTGCTCACGCTGACTGGCAGCCAGGGCCTCGTGGGTACGGCTTCGCAAGGAGGCCTCGGCCGCTGCCTGGCGCTGTGCATCCAAATCAATCATTCGACGCTGTCACGCCAAAGCAAACAGAACCAGACATTCATGTGAGAATGCTTCATGAAGAGCAAGCAAGAGAAAACAGAACGAGAAAGAGTGAACACGAAGCGAGACAGTTTGAACAACAGCAGCATGCTCGCACCTTGTAATCCTCCTCCTCAGCCCGGCGCTGGTCCTCAAGTGAGATTATCAATTCTGCCTGCTCCCGCTCCAGTGACTCGAGTTCCTGCAGATGCTTCTGCAAAAGTGATGGGTCTGCCTTGCGCGTCTCGCGCCGTGTCACCCGCTTGAGCGCTGCAAAACGTGCCTCCTGGGCTGCCAGCGTGGCCTCGAGATGCTGCAAGTTGCGCAAAGCAAGCTGCGGGTCGTGTTCCACCTCCGAGTCCAACATTGACCGATAGTCCTCCTGCAACTTATCAGCCAGCGTGGCTTCGTGAAAGTGTTGCAGCTCATCCAAGTGATCCTCAAGATCTTCCGTCACTGTTGCCCAACGCTCAAGCAAATCGCTATGCAAGTTGTGGAGCTCAACGACCAACGGCTCTGTTTGTTCACGGTATGCGGGCTCTTCGCGAGCCAAGGCCGTGCCCTCCTGCTGAAGCTGCTCAAAGGTATCTTGCCGCGCCTCAATCTCGTGGCGATGCAACTCATGATCTTGAATTTGCGTGCGTGCTTGCGACAGGTCAGCTGCCATCTGAACTTGCTCCAACACCGCCATGTTGTCCTCCAACCAGGCCACAAAGTGACGATGGGCGGTCACAAATCGTTGCCAACGCAACGAAGCAGCCAAGGCAGCCGTGCGCGCTTCCGACCGATCACCCAACTGCGTCCACGTGTTGGCCAGCTCCTGCAGCTTGGCACTGATGGCCTCGGCGTGCTCCGGGTAACGCTGTTGCAGAGCTTGACCAATCTCTTGACAAGCTTGAACAGACTTCTCAGCGCCCTGCACCCGTGTGCAAAAGGCCGTGTGCTGACGGTGAAGCGACTCGGCCATGCCCAGTGTATCGCCCACGTCCCCATTGGCAGCCACCGCTTGGAGCTCGTGCAAACGTAGCATAACATCTTGCTGCCCATGCGTAAACGCATGCACGGCGTGAGCTCGCTCCAGCAGCTCCCCGCGAGCCAGACATGCCTCTTCGAGACCTGAAAAGGCCGCCTCAACGGTGCCCAGCTCTTGGACCATGATTGGCACGTCCGTGTGCTCTTCCCCACGATGCGTCTCCAAGCGCGCTGTCAGATCAACCACATGTTCTTGACGACCGATTTGCACTGTTTGCAAGAACGCCTCAAACTTGGTCTGCAAAACCTCACAAGCATCCTGGTCATCACCCGTACCAGTATCGCGGGCTGTGGGCATGGCTCGCTCCACCCACATGCGGGCCTCCTCTGCTGCCATTCGAAATTCGTGCAGCTGACGAGTTTCTTGCAAGCGGTGTCGCCGTGCCTGTGTGGCTGCATCCAGGTCGGCCTCACACCGCTCCAGCTCAACGATGCGAGCCTCAATGCGCTGGGCATCACGATTTTGCTCTGCGATTAGACCCCGTCCGTCCGTCATGACGGCCCCATTGACCTCAGCCGCAGATGTTACGTCCAACCGAAGGCGCTGCACGCGCTCACGCAAGGAATCAGTCGCAGCCATTGTTGCTCCAAGCTCCGTCTCGCCCGCTACCTGTCGCAGCTGCTGCATTGAACTTTCAACCTCGGCGGCATCCACAAAAAAGCGATGTGCTGCTTGGCTTTCCATTAACAAAGCAAGGCGAGCACGAGATGCGTCGACCAAAGAAGCATAGGCCTGTTCCAAGGCTCCGACAGCTTGATTAATGTCGTCAGCCGCGTAGTGACCCGCTTCTGCGGCACGCCCAGCCGCAGTGACGGCCGCAATCACGTCCTGCTTCCCCTCGATGTCCGCATGAAGCTGACGGTGCGCCTTCAGTAGAGTTTGGGCCTGGTCCAAATCGGCACCCGTCGTCATAGCACTCGCCGCTGCCTCGTGCCCAACCACCCAGTCCATTTGCTCCCGCTGATCGGCCAAAAAGTCCTGCAGTTGGCATGACTGCTCCAACACAACCGACTTGGCAGCCACGGGGTCATGCAGGGCCACATAGCGTTGCACAAGCTCTTGACAGGCTTGCGCGATGGCCTCTGCACGAAAGTTTTCACTGGCCACGAGCTCATCCGCTGATGCCTGGAGCGAATCGACGAGCGGGCGGTGCGCGACCACATCCTGAGCCAAGGCTTGGTGGTCACGTAAGTGCGCCTGGGCAGCCACGCGGTCTGCACCGCGTTCATCGCGGTCCAGCGTGGCTTCCACGCTGGATAGCCATTCTGCCAGGTCGACAACGGCTTGCTGGAATTGTTGCTCCTGAACGGCCTCAGCCAATTGCTGCACCTTGCTACCACTGGACAACTCCAGTCGCCCATACGAGTCCTCCGCGGCCTCCAGCCGAGCTGGCACGGCCTCGGCGCCCACCTTATCTGACTGCAAAATGGCGGCCGCACGCGTGGTGTGCTCATCCAGCACGGCACGATAGTGACGCACTTCGTCGTCCGTGTTTAACGCTCCTGCCAGACGGATCTTGAGGCGCGAGTTGTCTGCGACGTCGACGGCATCCACCAAAGCCTGCTTCTCCGCAATCCAGCGGTCGGATTCATCCATGTCACGCAGCCAAGCCTGGAATTCGACGGATTGCATAAGCAGTTCTGCACGAAAATGGGCCACGTCCGACAAGCGGTCAAACTCGTGCTGCACACCAGCCGCCCGCTCCGCCATCAGCGCCGCCTGGGGGTGTTGTTGGGCTGCGTTTTGGTCAGCAAGGGCCTGCAAGCGTCGGACTTCGTCGCCCTGCGTCTCGAGACGGGTCTGGTGCCGACGATGCACCTTCAGTAAGGACTCGGCCTCGGGCACAGACGCACCCAGCTCGTTCTGATCGACGGCAGCCTCGTGAACCTTGAGACCTTCCAAGCAACGCTCATGCGCCAACTGAAAGCGCAGAAGATCAAGGTGGACCTGATACTCATCCTGGCGTTCCGCCCACAGCTGGTCAAGATGGTTCAGGCTACTGCGCAAGTCCTCCACCTGCTGCAACATATTGGCAGTTTGATGATGCTGGTCAACAATCATGGCTTCACCTTCAGCCACAATGGCTTGAAAGTTGGGGCGCCGCGTCTCGAGCTCTGCCTTGATGCTTTCATTCTGCTCGCATATGGCCTCAGTGCCAGGGGCATCCCCGGGCAGCTCAACGCCGGCAATATCACGGGCAGTCGCATCAATCCAAGTATCAGCAGCACGAAATCGTGCCACAAATTGCTGATACCGCAGAGCCTCGTCCAACAGGCGCTATGCAAGAGAGATGGGCCGGTCAGATTGGACCCATGCGTGAGACGCCGCACACATAAACACGCGCCAACCAGCTTCGGAGCACGCGCACCTACAACATCAACAACCAAAAAAACAACACCTCGATTCAACAATCGCGCAGTCTAACCTGACGCTCGGCACCCATACGCTGCAGTTCTTGCAGATCCGCGAGCAAACGGCTGCTCGTTTCATCCAACAGTCCTGCTTGATCAGGATGACGCTGCTTCAAGTCGGCCACTTCAGAGCGCAACCCCTGCTCTTGGGCCGCAATGGCATCAACGTCGCGCAAAAACTGTTCGTGGTCACGTCGTAGCTTCTCGACCGAGGGAACGTCTTGACCGAGGTCATCGGGCATGGCCTGCATTTTCTCGCGCACCCAATCCTGAGTCTTATTGGCCGAGCGGTTAAAACGCTCGACTTCAAAGGCTGTGCCCAAAGTTTCGCGCCGCTCCACTAGGCACTGCTCCATAAACCTCCACCTGCCGTGTGCATGTGCAGCCGCCACCAGCATCAATCAAGGCAGCTCGCAAATATCTCAGTAACATGCTGTCTTCCTTGGCCCCAAGACCCTGCCATCCCCAGGTTTCCTTGCCGGCCATGTGTAACCAATCTTGCTGACAGGCATGCAATCCGCCGTGTCACTTACCGCTCTTCTACCGCAGCTTGGGTAGCGACAATGTCGGCCTCAAACGCATGCTGGCGACCCAAGCAGTCTTGACTATCGGCATCAAATTTGTCTTTGCGCGGCTGCATGGCACTCTTGTTGAGCTTGAAGTCGTCAAAAACTTTTTGAATGTGTTCCACAGCTTCTACCGTGTCGCCAACCTCGTGTGAAGTATAGACCGGCTCCGTCTCATCTAGCCACTGGTTGAGATCTTCGGCCTCGCGTGCCAGTCGGAAGAACTCAACGGCTTCCCGCAGTCGTTGAAGGCGCTGGCGTGATGCCTCCACGAGTGCGGCATAAGTCATCTCGAGCTCGGCTTGCCGGTCACTGATACCAACGGTGGGGTCGGGGAAGGTGTGGTTGCTTTCGTGGACGTTAGCAAAGGCGTCAACACTTTCGTCTTCAGGGATAACGTCCACGGCTGGCTTCGCGGGCTGGCTAGAGACTGCTGGCGCGGGTTCATTGGCCACACGCTTGACATACTTGGCGGGCACGTAGCCAGTGTCGCCGTTATCCCGCGCCACCTTCCACCAATCCGCCGACTTGTCATTGACGAGCCGCAAGATCTCGCCCTTGACCACCGTGAGCTCCTTTGAACGACGACCTTGATAGTCATAACGAACCTTCACCATGGGCTCGGTGGCCTGCGCGGCAAGCTCCAAAGCAGCCTGGGCCAACGCATCTGCCTGTGGATCGAAGGTGAACATGCTTTCGCGCCGAGCAACAGGCCGCGGCTTGGGAGCTGCGGCGCTGATGGACGCTTGAGCCTTGAGCTCGCTGAGGACCGATGCAAAGGTGTTGACGTCCAGCGCCAAAGCGTCCTGCTGCGCTAGCAGGCGCTCAGCACTGTAGGTGTCATGCCCATAGTCAGGGTCGTTGACTAAAGGCTGCTTCTCGTACAACCAGGAATCAGCATCATTGGCTTGCACAAAGTATTGCTGGGCCTTCTCCGCTGTCTCCAGCGCCATGTGTCGAGCCTGCGCAGCTGCGCAAAGGTTGCCCCAGCGCTCCTCAAGCAATCGTAGAGTTTGCTGCACGGCCGCCTGATATTCGGTGCTGGCACGCGCCAAAGCCTGACCGGTAGCCCGCACTGGTTCGAGCCCCGTCTTCTCATGGGAGGCAATGTCGGCCTGGAAAGCATTGCTCTTGAGCAGCAAATTGTGAACGGCTGTCAAGCTGACGCCCAAATCCTGTGACGTCGCTTGCGGCAGCTGCGTTCGCATCCAGTTCTCTTGCTCCACCACGTCACGAGAGAATCGATGAAAGGCCTGTGCTTCCTCAAGACGTCGGCGACGCTGGCCTGCTTGACTTTGCAACAAATCAAAATGTTGCAACAGCTTATCGCGCCGTGCGCGCAACTCTTCCGTCTGCGAGTGCTGGTCGCTGTACAACACGACCAAGATGCAACAGTAATGAGTGTGTGTGCGTGTGTGTCTGTGTCTGTGTCTGTTTCTGGGTGAATTGCCAAGGGAGGAGCCAGGACTCACGCAGCAAAATCAGCCAAAACCGCATCGAGATTCTTGCGTGTCGTCTGTTTGTGTGCCTCGATATCCAGCTCCTGCTGTGTGTGGGTGGCCAACAGTTGCTCCGTCTCATCCAGCGTCTTGCCCACGTTGTCGGCACTCATAACAGCAAGCTCTTCTTGAATAAAGGCCACCTACATGCGCGTGGGAATTTCAAAAAAAAAAATATAATAGGGGCCGTGAGATCAAGGAGAGCAAGATGCATTTCACGTTTCGCAGAAAGGCGAGCCGTATCAACGCGCTCGTGTGCTCAATCGCACCGCTTCGTCGAGATCTTTGTAGGCGCGATAGAGCTGAACCAGTTCCTTGAGCACGCTTTGGCGGCGAGTAATACTATCCAACAGTTGGCGCCATTGCGCTTGAATGGTGTCATGACGGGCGAGGACAGCGGCATTGTCGTGATACTGGCCTTGGATGAGCACGTTCACCAAATTCCCAAGGCTGAGGACGCGGTCTTCATAGCTATCAACCTGCAGATTGAGCATGTCCTCTTTTTGTTGACTGGCCAAGACCGTGGAGTAGTCGGTGCCGAAATTATCATCAGCGGTGAGGAGCAGCATGTCCTTCAACCACTCCTGACGAAGCTTGGCTTTGCGATCAAACTGAGCGGCCGTCTAGTGACCAATGTACCCGGAGCACGCAGTGATGGACAAATGATCAGAACCTGTTCAATCCGTGCTCGCCTGACACAGTCCGCTCTGTCTGAAATCGGTGCACACCTGTTCCAGCTTTTGAAGACGGACAAGCTCTTGTAGCAATGCGACCTCGCGAGCATGCTCGGCCTTCTCCATGGTATCCCATGAAGCTTCAATGTGCTTTAGTTCCAAACCTTCTTTCATCTACAAGAGCGTTTCCACGCGGTTTCTCAGTTGGGTTGCAGAAAGGAACGCGCAGCGCAATGGTAGCCCGTACCGCCCTCTTTCCAAAGCACACTGAGCAAAATGAAACGTAAACTCACCGAAAAGAGGACGCGGTTGCTGGCGCGGCGTTGCATCTGGATGGTGAAAAGGGTTGCCTCCAAATTGCCTGACAAGACCGCCAAATACATGATGAGAGCAAAACGAAAGGCACGACTTTTGCGCTGAGTTTGGTCGCCACAAGCAGACCTTTTTGAGCAAAGCGATTTGGCTTTTCTTGAGTGCGATACTGCTTAAAGTCGACCATGAGACCTTGCATGCCTGAGACCCTGTCGAGTAGAGGAGAAGAGCAACAACACGCCGGCACCCCCCGGGATGAGCAAGGGGAGATACAAAGCTGTGCTCAAGGGGCGGGCCAACGTGCGATAGTCAAAACCGTACGTGTTGGGAAAACCGCGGCTGCCTAGCCATGTAGTTTTGGCTTGAATCCAAGCCAACAGATCTGCAGCACTCATGTTGTAAGCGTCCTCCTCCTTTTCAAGCTGCATGCCAAACAGGCCATGCAAAACAAGAGGAGGTCGCGAAAATGAGCAAGACCAAGACCAATCAAAACGTGATGGTGCAACTGGGCCCGAGTGGCTTGGAGGGGGACAAGTGAACATACGTCGAGATGGAATTGGAGAGCGTTTTGCAGGCGGCGCTGCCAGACGGTGTCCTGTTCCATTTTGGCAAACTTGTTGTAGTATAGAATGAGGTAGGTCATGATGGATTTATCGTCGGCATGATCGATCACGTCTTGTGCGTCGAGCAGAGCAGGGATGCCCAAGTCTTGCGCGGCCACGGTAAAGGCCTGCTCAAGATTGCCTTTGCGGTCATCGGGGCCGAGTGCGTTGAAGTTGAGGAGGTCTGGACGATGGCGGTGGATAAGGGCGTTGAAGGCCAATCCATCGCGCCAGCTGTTGCTGAAATTCTGAACGTTGACACCGGGGTAGCCGGCTGTCTTCCGTTGGCACCAACGAAGCAGGGCTTCCTTGGCACTCTTGGCATCCTCGCATTCAATCTCTTGAATCTAAGAAGTAACAGCGCACATGGATGGAAGTTTAGAGGGGCAGCAGGCGATTGAGCATGAGCATAGGCTGAGCGCAGACCTGAAAGCGGAGAATGATGGTCCAAAGTAGACCCAAAGTGAGGCGCTCGTTGCCATCGACAATGTCTTGCGCACCGATTGATTCGAGCTTCACCTGTGATGGGAGCAGGCGTGTGAGACCAAAACACCTCAAGAGACGGCGGCCTCTTTTTTCCCTTTCTCTTCCGCCGACAACCTTTTTTTTCCCTTTCTCTTCCGCATCTCCCTGAATTTCGGCGTCTGCGATTCTGATCAGCACGTACGTCGTGCTCAGCGATGAATTTGAGGGTTGCATTGACGTTTTCCATCTGGTGGATGCGGAAGAGTGGGCGGCCTTTTGGAGTATTGGGCAGTTTCTGGGAGGAACGACGAGATGGGCCAAGAGTCAGCGCTGCACGAAATAACACGGGCCGTGCGTGGGGCTAGCAAGCCCATCCATGGGTACAAATGTACGCACAATTTTGACTTCATCCTCGTCGGTGATGGCATTGAGAAGGAGCACCAGGTCCACACCATCCTTGAGATCCGTATACAAATCGTTGACCTAATATTCGAGTACAGGATCGGAAAGATCCAATCAAGGTGAAGATGTTGCAAGTGCTAGGCCGTAAGGATGCTGAGTTGCTGGTGTGCGAGGCGGGGTGCAACCTTGCGACCGTGCGCCTCAAGGTGCGAGTTCATCCAGTTGGTGAAGGTCTTCTTTTGCATATTCTAATACCGTTAGGTTGGAGCGCCAATAGATAGTGATTTAACGTGCTCTTCTCGCCGGAATAAGAAAAAGATCTGGACGACCTGCACTGGCCAGAAGCCAATTCAGCGGCGTACAGCTGCATGGGACGTACCGCTCGGGACTGCTGGAGCTCGCGCACGCGAGCATCGCTTTGGACCGACATGGCAACGGTTGTCTCTGGGATGTGGCAGCAAATGGGTGTGCTTCAACCACCACGCTCCGTCAAGGGTGCCGAGTCTGGCTCAAAACACGGCGGGAGCTGCAGGGGTTTGAGCTGGTTTGTGCCGACTACCACAACGTGTCGCAGGGCCATGAGCCGCAAGACTTTGCCGCCCAATCAATCACCTCTTCCCGTACCTCCACCAACATCCCCTATGCCGCACATAGACACCAGTGGCAATGCCTACCACCACCACCACACACAGAGAGACACACTGCCATCGCGCCGCGTTTGCCATCACGCATTTCACTCACCTCTCCACCCCCAGCCGCCGTGCAGGAAAGAGAGACATCAACAGCACCCAAGGGGCATAAACCCACTACACTAAAGCATGCCAAATGACACGCTTTCAACTTTGAAATTGTATTCGGCAAAATTAACAAACTTTACATTTTGGAGGGTTGTGAATATGTCAGATAAATAGGATTTTGTCAGACAGTTGTCGGGGTGCTACCAGGTGACAACCGGTCCTTGGTGACGCGAAAGCTTGCCCCAGAGCGACTTGGGTGCATTCTCCTCATTCATCGCCAGCAAGCGCCCCAGCCTCCCCGCCTCCCGGCAATTTTTGCGCGTTTCCTTGTTGTGTTTGTCGGTCTGGGCCGAGGTTTCTGGTTCTGCGCTGGAAACGATTGGTTTGACTTGGCAGAAAAGCAAGCACGACGCGTGTCTTGCGTTGCGGGTGCCTTCACGGCCAAGAACACGCGGCTCGCCGACGTCGCGGCTCCCCACACTTGTAAGGTACGACAACGAGTGTGGCGACGAGGTTGCTTTGCGTTGTGGTTCAGAGCTTGCGTGACCTGAGGGGGGGTAAGGCACAAGCCAGGGTGTTGTCAGCAGCATGCAGTCACCGCCAATCCATGTGCCGAGCTGGAAGGGCAAGTTTGACCCGCCTTGTTGGGCTCACCTCTACTCGGACACATGCACAACACATAGGACACACCGCCGGCATGGAAAAGTATGAAAAGTTAAGCAAGATTGGCGAAGGCAGCTATGGCATTGTCATCAAGTGCAGGCACAAGGTCTGGTGTCTGCTGTATCCTCGAGCCATTCGCTCAACCCTTTGGCGCAGGCGTCTGCGCGTAACAGCAAACTGCCCGGTGTCCCATCGCGACAGGAGAGCGGCCGAATTGTTGCCATCAAAAAGTTTTTGGAGACGGAGGACGATCCGCAAATCCGCAAAATTGCCCTTCGTGAAGTCCGTATGCTCAAGGTCAGGTCAAGTGCCAGCCCCTTTGGACTGAATTCCCATCACTCGCGTTGCGCAGCCGGACGCTGCCAGTCTCTGCAGAAGTTCTCACACTGGACTGCTGTTGGGGCCTGGAATTGACATAGATGCTAAAGCACGGCAATTTGGTCAACTTGCACGAGGTTTTTCGCCGCAAACGCCGGTTGCACTTGGTGTTTGAGTTTCTTGACCACTCGCTGCTCGATGAGTTGGATGCCAACCCCAAAGGCCTGGATGAGGTGCAGATCAAGAAGGTCACTTTTCAAATTCTCAAAGGCCTGGAATTTTGTCACGCCAACAATGTTATCCATCGCGACGTCAAGCCGGAAAACATTCTCATTTCACGCGAGAACATTGTCAAGCTTTGCGACTTTGGCTTTGCGCGTACCGTCTCTGGCCAGGGCGCAGCCTACACGGAATACGTGGCAACGTACGACTTTTGAGATGCTTGACCCGTGTCCCCTTTTTTTTTTCTCTCGTTTCCTTGTTTTTTTTTTTTTTTTTTTTTTTTTTGTTTTTTTTTGAGTGTATATTATTGCTGTTTGGTGCTTGGAGCCATCTCTCACGTCTTAATTGTCTGGTGCCAGGCGTTGGTATCGTGCACCCGAACTACTGGTCGGCGACACGCAGTACGGAGCGCCTGTCGACGTATTTGCAACAGGTACGCAGATAGTGTGCGAGTGGGGTGTCACGGGACACGCGACGACCGCTGCTCCTCGACCCGTCGCCTGCTTGGCTTCTTGATCCGCTTCGCTCTGATTCCCTACATGCCATTCCGTCTGTGGGTCGCAGGCTGTGTCGTGGCGGAAATGCTAACTGGACAGCCCTTGTGGCCCGGCAAGTCAGATATCGACCAGCTGTACCACATTATACAGACCTTTGGCAAGCTGTGCCCTCGCCACGAGCAAGTGTTTAGCTCCAACGACTATTTCAAGGGCTTGAAACTGCCCGAGGCTTCGCCCAGCAAAATGCTTCCCTTGGCCTCGCGCTTTCGTGCCTACAGCAGCCCTGCCGTCAAATTTTTGCAGGTGACGCTGAAGATCCCACAAATCATTTGTCGGGCCTCTTTCTTTCCCACACACACACACACACACACACACACACACACACACACACACACACACACACACACACACACACACACACACACACACACACACACACACACACACACACTTATCTCATTCTCTCATATACTCGATTTGCTCTCAGAAAACCATGGCGCCATCGCCAACAGAGCGTTGCACTTGCACTGAGGCGCTGAACCACGAGTATTTCGACGATTTTCGGTACGCATGTCCACTCCTGGCCGCCAAACGCACATCGCATGATCTGCACGCCAAGGTACAATGCAATTTGACATTGTGGTGCATGCCTCGGTCATTTTGAACCCATCTGATCTGAATTAGGGACTGGTTTGGTCCGGAGCTCCAACAAATGCTGCACAAGTCGCCACCTCCCACCCGCCGGAAGCATAAACGCACGCAGCCAAAGAAAAGCCGGCACCTGCCCAATCTCGGTGTGGGTTCGCAGCCCAACCTTGCAGTTCCCTCCAAGCCGGACGTTATGGCCGCAGGTGCGGGCGAGCCCGAGAATGAAAAACCACCTAAACCCAAGAAACTGGAAGCCCTTTCTTTGTCCAAGCTTCATGGCGAACTTCCCCGACTGGGAGCTGGTGAAAACCGTTCCTTGCCACCGATCTGAGCATTTCTAGGCAGGCTGGTTTGGCTATGTCGTCCATTTTGAGTATGACTTTTCGGGTTGCTTTTCCTTTACATCTTCAGATGAGGAAAACGCCATCTCGTCGCTCTTGGGCAAGATGTTACGCTTCTGAGATTACCATCCCCCTCCCTCCCCCCTTGCTGGCTCTTTTGGCCGCCGCTTGCATGTTAGAGGAGAGGGTCTAGGTGGCCACTGCCCTGGTATTCGTGGGTTGTGTCCTTGTACTTCCCCGTCGAGCGGGGTTGTGCTTGCGCCTTGATGACGGCCTAGCGGATCTCTCGTGGTGTCTCATGACGTGTCTTGTCGTGTCGTTTCGTCTTTGAGCTGTACTGTGCCCTGTCGTGTTGTTGTATCGAAGAACTTTGAATGGCCTGAAAACGCTTTCATGGGCACCGCTAGCTACGTTTGTTCTTGCGTTTTGTTTTGGTTTTTGTGTTCGCCAGGCATCGTCGTTGGACTCATTCAGAAGAGCGATTGCTGGACCGCCCAGCGTTGTGGAAAGAGTGTTGTTTGAGAAGATAAGCAAGTAATTTGAATAATTGAACCGCCACTGTAATGATACATCACAAATCTCCTTTTCAAGCGCAATGGCGGGTTGGATGGCGCACCGCGGTTACTTCTTAACGCCACGCACATTGGCAGGAGAGCGATCAAGATGCGAGGCTAGATCGCTTCCGCCACCAACGGCGGGAATGTGGCCCGTGCCTTTGGCAGTGCTATCACGCCCGGCCAGGCCCTTGCCATGCCCCTCCGAGTCGAACCGTTCCTTGTGGCTCCCAGTGTACTGGCTCGTGTCCGTCATGCGATCCAGCACACCCCCGCTGTCGGCCTGCGTACCACTGGACTGCGGTCCGCCCGCGCGAGTCACCTTGGCTTCGACGGCGCTCACATCCTGCCCCGTCTTCTTGGCCACCTCCTCCAGCGCGCTTCGAAACTCGGCAAAGCCAATCTTGCGCTGGCCCTTGGCCTTGACGCGCGTAAAAATGAGATCAGCATCGGTTGTTGTCAGTGACTTGGAGATGAGCTTGGTTTCCTTGCAGAGCTTGGTAAACTTTGCGCTGTCAAGCTCGGGCGTTCCAGTCGCTGCACTGCCAGCACCAAAGCTGGCGTACTGCTCAAAAACCTGTTTGAGGGTCGTCATGGTTGGTGTCAACTGGGTACGGGCACGAAAATGCGATGAAGCTACATGTAGTTGCTGTTGTCCACCAAAGCTCGAGCTGCGGACAGGAGGACGGACACCCAAACAAACGAGAGACGCGACGCGGCTGCATTGGCAACAATGTCTGTTGTGGACAACCACTGGATTATGGCAACAACATGTGTTGTCTTGTTGCGGGATGTCAGAGAAATGTACCATTGTCAGAGGATCTGCACAGCCGTATTCATCACGCTGCGCGACCGTGTCGCATAATTTTAGCGGCTGTTTCGCATCTTGTGCGAAACATGTTCAGCTTCAGTGTGTGTCAGGTCATGCACTTTGCCCAAAGCTGTTTGTTTGGGCATGCGCAGTCAGCCGATAACGTAAGTATTGGGCAACGGCATAAGGTTCCAACGTTTTGCCAATATCGCGCGTTTGACACTGCGTGAGAGCGCTTGCTTGTGTGGTGGGTGGAGGCGTTCATTTTCTTTGTCTGATCCTCAACCTCTACGGTATGTTCACAAAGGGCAGCGCCATAGAAGCCGCCGGTTGCAGTGCCAGTGGCCTCGTCTTTGCACTCCTGCGTGAGCCACAGCTCTATGCTCTCCCACTGACGAACCAGCCGCCAGCCCTTTGCTTACCTTGTGATTTGCGTTGCTGCAGCGTGTTGTTGTTCACTGCGTTGCTGTGACGTGACGCCTCTTTCAGCGTTAGCGGTGTTTTTTCCCTTTTTCTTCTTGCGAGTGTTTCGTTTTTTTTGTTGTTTTTTTGTGTTTTTTTTTCTTTTTTTTCTTTTTGGGGGTTGCACGAATGTATGCCATTGCGCGAGTCGTTTCCCCCTCGACTGTGGGCTGGCGCGCTGGTTCTCGCCTGCTTGATTGCCACGCTTCGACTGCGCTCGCCGCCGAGCTTCAGAGGCACCAACTGACCTGCCGCGCTCGATCAAACGCTCACCGGACGTGCACCGCTAACGACTCCACTGAATCGCGGCGTCACGCCAGTCAGTGGTATTATCCCTCCTCAGATCCTCCACGCAACACAACCATGGCTCGTCCTTCCCAACAAGAGGCCCAGGCCGCCATGACCGGCCTGCAAATGCGCTCTTCTCTCAACATCTACTCGGATCCGGCGCACGCTCGCAAGACGGGCATCATCTGCACCATTGGTACGTCCAACGGCATCCACCTGGGCCACAAAGTGAATGTGCAATGTGCTTCCCTCGCCCTCCCCGCTTTTGCCGATGGCCTGTTGACCTTGATGTGTCGTGGTTGCTTTCCAACAGGCCCTGCGTCGCGCAGTGTTGAGCTGCTCACCAGCCTTATGAAGGCCGGCATGAACATTGTCCGCCTCAACTTTTCTCACGGCACTCACGAGGTCAGTTCAACTCGACCTCTTGCGCCGTCCCACGGAAGACTTGTGGAGTGTCTTCTCCTTGCTCAGACCTGTGATTTGCTCTTCACTCATGCTGATGCAACGCCTGACCTCTTCACACCACCTATTACCCTCCTCAGTACCACGCTGGTACCATTGCCAATGCTCGTGAGGCGGCCAACGCCCACAACCGTCCCATCGCCATTGCCCTTGACACCAAGGGTCCGGAAATCCGCACTGGCCTGCTCGAGGGCTTCAACGAGGTACGATTCCATGCTCCTTCCTCTTTTTGCGATTGCTTCTTGCACCTCGCTGCCTCTCATCAACATGCTCTTGTGGAACAACCAACTCCGCCTTGCTTTCTTTGCCATGCGCAGAACCCTCGCCTTGAGCTGGAGCTGGGGCAGGGCAGCCAGATCACGGTCACCACTGATGATGCCTTTGCAGAGAAGTGCACTGCCGATGTCCTCTACGTTGATTACAAGAACATCACCAAGGGTACGGCCAGCCTCGTCATCCCATAGGCGGGCTTGCCGTCGCAACAGCTTGTCGCTGATTCTCTCACGCTGCCTTGCACTGTCCGCGTTGTGCTGCAGTGATGAAGCCTGGCAATTTGATTTACGTCGATGACGGATTGATTTCCCTACAGGTGGACTCGATCTCATCTGATAGCATGAAGTGCACCGTGGTCAACAGTACGTCAGACGCCGCCTTCTGCAGCTGGCCGCTTGTTTTCGTGACGTGCATAAACTCTGACGGTGCCAAAAACAAAATGGATGCATCCACTTGAATCGGGGGAACAGGTGGCAAGCTGGGCTCGAAGAAGGGTGTCAACCTGCCCAACGTCAAAGTGGATCTGCCCGCCATCAGCGAGAAAGACAAGTCGGACCTCACGTTTGGCGTTGAGCAAGGAGTGGACATGATCTTCGCCTCGTTCATTCGCAAGGCTTCTGATGTACAAGCCATCCGCGAGGTATGAGCCACCCTGTATCTATCACATGCTCCCCCGTGCAGATGCGGTGCTTCCTGACATTGCACTCTCTGGACGCGAACCTTAGCACCTGGGCGAGGCAGGCAAGAACATCAAGATCATTTGCAAGATCGAGAATCATGAGGGCGTGCAAAACTTTGATGAAATTCTTTCGGTCGTTGATGGCGTGATGGTGGCCCGTGGTGACCTCGGCATTGAGATCCCTGCCGAGAAGGTCTTCTTGGCCCAGAAGATGATGATTGCCAAGTGCAACTTGGCGGGCAAGCCTGTCATTTGCGCCACGCAAATGCTCGAATCAATGATCAAGGCACCGCGCCCGACCCGTGCCGAGGGCTCGGACGTGGCCAACGCGGTTTTGGATGGTGCCGACTGTGTCATGCTGTCGGGTGAGACGGCCAAGGGTGACTACCCCGTTGAGGTGCGTCACTACAGCGTTTTGGCCTGGGCATGATCGATCACCCCTTGTTCCCGTGGCTCATGTCGTTTCTGCGTGTCCTTGCACACAACATCTCGTGTGTCTCCGGTACACAGGCTGTCAAGATGATGGCCTCCATCGCCGTCGAGGCCGAGGCTGCCGTCAACCTCCGTGACTTGCGGGAGGAGATGCGCATGGTACGAATCGTCGCCTTGCTTTTGCTCTTGGCATAGTGGCATGAGCTGACCAGTCCCACCTGCGACATGTTTGCCGAATGTGCATAGCTGACCCCGAAGCCCACCAAGACGACTGAAACATGTGCCACGGCGGCCGTGGACGCCAGCATTTCCAGCCAGGCTGCGGCCATCATCTGCTTGACCATCTCGTACGTTTCTTAAGAGCGAGCCATACCGAGTGGCCAGACGCTGTTGGTACCTCGGGGTCATTTATTCCTGCTCGCTTTGGCTGACATGACGAATGGACAAATGCTGCCCAAATGTGTAGGGGTCGCACTGCGCGTCTCATCAGCAAGTGGAAGCCAATCTGCCCCGTGGTGGCCGTAACCCGCCAGCACTCGGTAGCCCGCCAGATGCATCTGCACTTTGGCGTCAGCCCCATGTGCTACGACACTTCCAAGGTGTGTCTCTCTCCGACCTTTTTGCTTCTCTGATGCAAACTGAGGGCGCTCACGCGATCGTGTGTGGGATCTGAAATAGGACGAGAAAGACACCTGGGCTGGCGATGTTGACAAGCGCTTCTCGTGGGCCATGGAGAATGGCAAGGCTCTCAAGCTGTTCAAGTCGGGTGACGTTGTTGTGGGTGTGCATGGCTGGCAGACGGGTCCCGGCCACACCAACACCATCCGCATGCTTGTGGTGCCCTAAGTGTCCAGGTCGTGATGCGACAAGTTGGTAGCCGTTTCTTTTCTGTTTCGTTGTAGATGGCTTGGGTGGTTCTCTCAGTTGAGACATCTATCGATGCGAATTTGCTCAAAAGCCTCGACTCACAAAAAGTGAACCCAGTTACACACTTTAAAGACACATTCCATACTTTTTTTCCTGATTTCTTTTTGTGTGTACTGTACTTCAACAACAGCAGTGGTGGGTGGTGTCTTCATTCAGTGGTCAGTCAACATCATGTTGGTCAGCCAGTCAATCAAATCAGTCAGTCACCATATTTTTTTTTTTCCGGATTATCCATCAAGTGAGGTGGGGGCTCTGGGCGCCGCACGCCGTACGCCGTACGCCGTGCTTTGTGTGATTGTGTGTGCCTTTGACTAAAGGGTGCAGTAGAGCTATAAGAGCAAAGAGTACAATTTCAGCTGACGGGTGCTGATGGTGTAGAGAAAACAGTCAACATGTCGAGCGAGCCACGCCGTTGCCGGGCCATCCGTGACTACACGGCCAAGGTGTGTTTGTCACTGGCGCAGGATGCACAGGAGCCTTTCTCACCCGCTCTTGAGTTATCACACCTCCAGACTCGGGGTCTGCCGGGGCTTTGACTCGAGAACTAATGCTCTGGCCTGCTACTGCTTTAGTCTGAAGACGAGATCTCCTTCAAGGAGGGCGACGTGATTTTTGTGCCGAAGCGAGTGGCTGGGGACAGGTGAGTCAGAGGCGTGATGGGCACATACATCTCGAAGTCTGCCATCGTTTTCATCATCTTCATCTCTTCTTGATGCCTTTCCTCTTGCTGTTCATTCACAGGTGGCAGGGCGTTTTCAACGGCAAGGTCGGCTGGTTCCCCAAGATCTACGTCGACGATACTACCGTTGAAGTTTCGGTCAGTCAAAGCAGACCCCGCACTTGCCCTTGGGTTTTTGTGGGAATGTTTCCGACTTGATTGGGCATTGGCCCTTTTTTTTGAGTGATCCCTTCTCTGCGCGCATCTAACCACATTGGCTTGGTGGATGGTCGATTCGGGTGCAGACCGGCAAGACGACCCGTGTGCGCTGCATTCGCGAATATGAGCCTGCCAGCGATGATGTCCTGCCGCTCAAGGTCGGCGATGTAGCCTTTGTGGTGGCACGGTATGTTTCATACCCATCTCTCGAGCCGAAATCAAATGTTTGGCGGAGAATCAGCGAACTGGGAGCGCACCGCTGATCGCACAATTTTGCACATGTGACAGTGACGGCACCAACTGGAAGGGTGTTTTCAACGGCAAGCCTGGCCTCATCCCTGCCGATGCCGTCGAGGACGCTTCAGAGAAACCTGCAGCGGCGTCGGGTGAGCAAACATGGGAGGTGGCCAAGTGCCGCGCCGTCAAGACTCATGTGGCCAAGACACCACAGGAACTGAGCTTCAAGCTCGGTGATACGGTTTTCGTCCCCAAGCCTGATCCTGCGCTGAGCACTTGGAAGGGCGTTTCCAACAACGTGGTCGGTGAATTTCCCAAGGACTGTGTAGTGGATACGAAGACCACTTCAGAGGATGAGCTGGCCAAACTGCTGGAGGCTGCCAAAATTTCTCCCGAAGAAAAGGCTGCACAGGCTGAATACGATGCTCAACAAAAGTCCTAAATCGCCATCGCCCTTTCCTGCCATCGTGCGTGATCTTCTAAGAACCAAATTACCCCTCCTCACATCAATCTCGCTCGACGGTGCCAACGTTGATCGTTGGCGCATATGTCTGCTGCAGAGAAACGGTAGAAGGGCGAGGTCTTTCAAGTGAATTGACAGAGCCTCGTTTACGTTCATGAAATTTAGGTCAAACACGGCCATGGTGCTGGTGTCTGAGAGAGAAAGAGGTCCAAATTTGAGAATATCAATCGCCGAGCTCGATCCGTGTCACCTCAACTAAAGGGGAACGACATGCGAACTCTGCAAGGATAGAGCAGCTGTTCGAACTGTTCGCACAGAAGCGGAGGTTGTTGAGAGCATTGAATCCAACTCCTTGCGGGATGTGACGCTGTGACGCTCGTGCCCCTAAGAGAAGAAAAAGCCATGAAAATGATTAACATGACGTAAAAAAAAAAAGGCAACAAGAAAATGGCATTTCTTTCAACTTGCTATGGGAAACAACAAGCTGTGCTTGGAAGTAAAAATCAAGTTCTTGCCGCGCTTTAGATCCTTAAGCTCTATCCACGACCATTTAATCGGGCTCATTGAATCTGGACAGGGTCTTGAGGCAAAAACATTGATGAGTATATTATGAATTTACGTGAAAGCACAGTGGGCTTGCTTGGTTCCCAAAATTATCAGCACAAAAAATAAGTCTACTATGCATTCGTTTAGCGCAAGCCCAGGCGCTTGGAGAGCTGCCGACGAAAAGAGCGAATGCGCTTCTCTTCCTGCTGCTTGGCCACGTGCGAGTCGGCTCTGCCTGACACTTTCGTGGATTGGCTCCTATTTTTTAGGCTGTGCCGCGGCTTGGTCGAGCGAAACTTGGAGACCTTTGTTGACTGGCATTGGTCGCCAGCGGCTGTGCCTTGGGCGCTGAACCTTTTCGGGCTGGGGCTGCCTGGATCGGGCGCAAAGTCTGCGCTGGTTTTGGTGCGTCGGCCAGATGACCTGCGCTTTTGCTTTGGGTTGGAACCTGAGCCAAGGACAAGGTGACAATGATTACGGTGACGACCAAAGAACATGCGCATAGCAAACACGACAATGATGAAACTCTCACCTGTGGTCTTCTGGTCTGGTTGTGACAAAGCGGAGGGCAAATATGAGCTCGAGTTGACGCCAACATCAGTCGCCGCGCCCGAGGAGCGTCTGCAAGTTTCTGCTAAGCTTGGACGGGTCATGTGCCAAGCACCGACGGATGGCCGTTGCAGCTCGCGACATGCAGGTGGCATGCCATCTGTCAAGTGCACCAGCGGCGGAGCCCCATGCTGCTTGACGTGCGCTCTCACCAAGTCCACCTTTTTGCGCAGGGCGGTCAATATCTATCAAGAGCGCGGCAATGGCGTCAAGGCCCGTACGGAGGGGTGCAGCGCGACTTGTTGAATCAAGACCGGGGTTCACGGCAGACCTTTTCCGGATCCGACACGGCGCTGCGCTTAGGAAAGCGTCGCTCAAGCTGCAGTTGCAACAGGCGTGGCATCAGAAGCAGCTGACTCAATTCGAGTTTGACATGGGGAAGCAGGGCCATGTGAAGGATCAGCGCTATGTATTCACATCTTGGCATTGTATGCTCACGCACCATCCAAGCTGCGAGGCGGCTTTGCAGTGCTTGAAGACCTGCCAGTCGCACGGTCTCAGCCAGCTCCGCGGGGGCCTGGTCAATCACGTAGCGTGCCATCTGCCAATGTAAGAGCTCAAAGTGTGGGTAGCGGTAAATTTGATCCACTTCCACCCGCGTCTCCAGATCGTAAACAGCCAGCTGCATGTCCACCGCCAGGGTGTGTAGGTAGTTGCCTCCATACACAAACGAGTCTTCGGGTGTGTAGACAGCATGGATCCAGCCTATGGCGACACAGAGTTGTCAGACCGCCCCCCCACCCTCAGCAGTTGTGTTGCATTCTTCTTCACACATCCCTCACAGACCTGATGGGATGAGCAGAGTATTGCCGGGTAGAACCACACATCGGTAAACCCTTGAGACGAGGTCCACCAAGCACGTCTATGGTGGGTTGAATGTCATGTCAGCTGCCCGTGAGTACGACCGGAGCTGCCCACATGACCCCATCGCGATGGATGGCAGAGCCAACGATGATGGCTTTAGATGCACACCTCCATTTGCTTTGCTGAAGCGTTCCATTTCTCAAAGCGCTCCATGTTTTCTGGTGTTGGAGGAATAAGATAAAAGATCTTGCAGCCCGATACGACGTGATACCAAACAGAAGTGCCTCCAAGGTCAACGTGAAAGTCGGTGTAAGCCCCTTCACCACCCATGAGACAGTAGCGCTGTACCTGAAGATCACAGGATGAAGAGAACAGAGTAAATGACATAGGAAAAGCATCGATACGACAAGCATCTGCCTTTGCCGCTTGGCTCTCCCTCACTACAAGCGACACGACCACCACGCCCTGCATAGCATACCTCAGGCCGCGGCACGGGAAAGTCATCAGGCCACACGACATTGAGCACATCAAGCTGTCGAGCCACTCGTGGCGGCAGGACCTCCGTCCGCATGGCCGTTTCTGTGAATTCAAGACTGATCACGTTGTAGACGCGCTCGCGCTCCACCGGCGGTACTCTGACCAGTGGAAGGCACGGCACACCCAATGGGTCAACGTTCAGCTAGTGCTGCACATACTTGAATACAAGGAAAACGAACGAAAACAAGGGGAGACGTAGAGTGCTTACCGCAAGTAGTCGGCCCATTCACGCAAAGAGAAGGGTTCCTCAAAAGTAGTCTGTGTGGCCACATCGATTACTTGAATGGGGCTGTCTTCCCTACGTCAGCAAAGTCCACCGGCCCCGTTTGCAAGAAGAAGGCGCGAGATTGGCGATGAGCAGAGTGGCGTTGATTGGCCGACACTTGATACTTATGAAGAACGCGGCGCACCCCAAAAGCTGAACAACATAGTCAACGTTGGCATGAGGGGGTATTTGTAAGTCGAGTCCTGCTGGCTTCTCTATCAGTATGGGACGTCGAAATCCAGATTTTCGCAATCGGTCCAGAGTCAAGGCTGACCCATCGGCCAAGAGGTCCATGACTTTGGAAGCGCTGGCAACAATGGCGTCGTGATGAGCAGGCCAGCCAAAGAGAATCCAGCACCGTGCACGCCCCCAAGCAAACACAGGCTGCACCTACTCGTCAAACTTATGACGGAGCATTCGGGCCACAAAGTCAACCTGCAACAAGGGCTAAGAGCCAAATGGTAGCTGCGTCATGTTTTGCCCACGATTTGGCCATATGTTTGGTCGCGTAAGAACAAGAATGGCCAAAAGATGGGTTCATGTACAGACCGTATCCGAGATGCCAGGGAGGGTAGATTTATGAAGCAGTTCTAGGCGCAAACGGGCCAATCCATTTCCAAGCATGAGCGAGATGGCACCGGCGCTGTTTTGCCCACGACAGTAGATGATTGCATGGTCAGAGCAAGGCTTTTTGAAGCGGTTGAAAAAGAGTGTCAGCCCTTACCGCGACGTTGGGTGCACTTGTTTGTGCGTGCGGTGCAGCTCGGGCAGACGTAACGCTCGATGAATTTGGCTTCGGGCTGATGTACATCGACACACTTGCCATGGAACCAGTCCTGGACAGCAAACAGGTCGAATAAGGGTTAGATCGATGAAAAGCGTGTTGATCATGACAATCATAACAACAACAACAAAATAAAAAAAATAAAAAAAATAAAAGCAACCCCTGGAGCGAGCGACTTGTATTGCTGCTGTCGATGTACCTGGCATTGGGAGCATTCGATCATAAAACGTCGTGCGTCATAAGGCTGCTGACATGAGCAGTACAGCGTTGTGTCGACAGGTCCAGTGGATTCAGCAGGCTCGGGCAGCGCCGTTGATTTGGTGGGTTTGGTGGACTCTTCGGCCGGACCATCTTGGCCAGCGAGCTTGATCTTGATAGGGCTTTTTAAAAGGGACTGGGTCTTGTGCTTCAGCCCACTCTCAACGCCCGCTGTTGGGCGCAGTACTATCAAACGCCTGCGCGCTGGCCTGCGTGGCTCTGATGCGGGTAGTGCTGCGCGGGAATGCGTGTCGTGAGGCACGGCCAAGGTGATGCCACTCTCTTCAGAAGAAGCTTGTCCTTCCAGGTGAGAATGGTCATGAGCAACAGTCTCGACCTCGCTCTTGATTCTGATGGACCGAGTTGGATTGGGCATTCGGTTATCAGGTTTCGCGCTCTGTCGAACGCGCAGCTTCCGAGTCGATTGTGGAGTTGCCTCTGGCAGTGGTTGTTCTGCCACCAACTTTCCAGATTGACAGCAGGTGGGGCAGGTGTATTGGCGGATTTGGGTGGCTGCTGATTCGTCCAAGTTAACGCAGTGAAAGTGAAACCAGCCCTGCCCTCCCATGCGCCGCGCGAGGGCATAGGTTGAGACAACCCGAGCAAGGTAAGGTGAGGCGCAATGATCGGCTTGCACTCCCATTCAGGCGGTTCGCGGTAGCACACGTATGAGGGCAGAGTCGCACAACATCCTTACCTCACATGCATCGCATTCAATCATGCCTTGCCCCGCAACATAGGGCTGGCGACAGAGGCAGTACACAACCCCTGCCTCGCCACCCCCAAGATCAGCATCGGCGAGTTCGGTCATGGTTGAGCGTCACAAGCAGTTTTGCTCGACGTAAAAATCTGACAATTATGCCATCACACATACACACACACACACACACACACACACACACACACACACACACACACACACACACACACACACACACACACACACACACACACACACACACACACACACACACACACACACACACACACACACACACACACACACACACACACACACACACACACACACACACACACACACACACACACACACACACACACACACACACACACACACACACACACACACACACACACACACGTGTGCGTGCTTTCAGTTTGACAAACCATCTTTTGGCGGCAGCCCGCGTTTCTGTTGCTCCAGGGTGCTTGAGCTTCCGGCGCTCCAACATCAGTACATCGTCTGAGAGTTTTCGTGTTGCTCTGGGTGGTTTGCTTGAAGGGGCGTGTATGTGAAAACGGTGGTTTTTTTTGGTCAATATCAGCTCCAAAGCGGTGACGCGGTCAGCGCGGTGGACCCGCCGCCATGGCCGATCTGGATTTTGAGGATGCACCGGAGGACGACGTGCACGTTATCAGTCTGTCCCATGTCACGAACAAATCCGACAAAACCTTTGATGCATCTGTTGCGGCAAACCCTCAGTCCCAAGCGTCTACGGCGCCCGCAGCCCCAGCAAGCTCCTTTGTGGCTGCGCCCGAGTCCCTCGGTACCGTGGACACGGCTGCTGACATCGCCAACAGCCTCTTTACCTCGGACCATCTTTTGACCGAAGGTGTGGATGGCTACGTTGAGGATGATGACGATGATGAAGATTACGCCGAAGAGGCGCTTTTTGACCTGCAAGACATGGCTGGTCGTGCCGGAAGTACGCCTTACCTGCCTCACCTGCCTTATTTGCCTCACCTGCCTTACGTTGCCGTGCGCGACTGCTGATTCGCGAGGCGTCACCTCATCCTTCGTTTGGCGGCTACTTGATTGACCTCTAGACTTGACGAAGCGCTTGCAGACATGGCAGGCCAACCCCAACGCTCAACACAGCGGTCAAGGTGACCAGGTCAGGCTATGCGCGCATCGAGCATCTCGGTTGGGCTCTTGGATCAACCCGCTCATTCCTACCTCTTGTGACGCGGCTCTTATCAGGCCCTGACGCAAAGCCAGCTCAACCGACGAATCAAGGTTGAGAGCTATGCTGGCCCCAAACTCCAGGACAATGTGGCCAATCGCGTGCTAGCCACCAATAAGAAAACAGAAAGCAATCGCCTGCGCACGACCGACAAGGCTGATCGAGCCACGAGCGAGCAGGTACCGGGCGCTCATACGCATGTGCAAGCAGTATCCCATTGGGGCTTAGGCTCATTCATTTCTGTTTCTCTGCTGGGCGTTTGCTCCAGGTTTTAGATCCACGAACGCGCATGATGCTATTCAAACTCTTGAGTCGGGGTCTCTACGATACAATCAACGGCTGCATTTCCACGGGCAAGGAGGCCAATGTCTACCACGCCTCAAGTGAAGGTGCGCGATGCATGACACACGGTCAAGCCACTCGCCATGGGCCACACCTCCGCGCCGACCGCGATTTCATCCCACGTTCACTTGGTTGCATGTAGCCAACAATAAGCAATATGCCATCAAGGTGTACAAAACATCCATTCTCGTCTTCAAGGTTTGGGCGCATCTGTGACCCGTCTTGAGTCCTTCCGAATGCCATGCACTTCAGGGGCGGCGCTTGTGTGACGGTGCGCGTTTCTTTGTTGCCCCTGTCGTCCCGAAGGACCGTGATAAATATGTGACGGGCGAATTTCGCTTTCGACATGGTTACTCGAAGCACAACCCGCGCAAGATGGTCAAGGTGGGTTGGCAAATTCAGAAACAAAGATCGGTTGTTTGGTCGCAGGCCATGTGTTCAATATGTGCATGCGACCGCCATCTACCTAGACGTGGGCTGAGAAGGAGTATCGTAATCTGATTCGGTTTGTAGCTCAGATTTGATCTTGACACCGTGCCTTTCGTTGGTGCTGTGGTTCATTCTCGCGACTGTCTGATTTATTTATGTACTGATTTTTTTTTTTGCCAATGTTGTTCTTTGCCGTGCAAAGGCTCAAGGCTGGCGGCGTGCCGTGCCCGACAGCGGTGGCTTTGAAGGCACACATCGTTGTAATGGACTTTTTGGGCGTCGACGGTGAGCGCCTCGACGAAGCCATGTGCTTAGCTCGTAGAGCGGTTGCGACCATTTCCTGTTGACCGGTTGAACTGGCACGTTTATCGATATCTCAACTAGGCTGGCCATCTCCGAAGCTGAAGGAGGCGGTCGTAAGTGCAAAACGGGCCAAGAAGCTCTATCGACAGACCATTGAGCTGATGCGGCGCATGTATCAAGACTGCAAGCTTGTGCACGGTGATTTGTCTGAATACAACATGCTGTGCGTTCTCGGCTGCCCAGTTTGTACTTTGATGGAGTTGACCATTTTCTCAATCAACGCGCATCATCCTGCAGCAATCAGGATATCTGATAGTTGTCTTTGCGGTGTTCTTTTTTTCATTTTTTTGTTTTGGTGGTGATGCCATGTGCATTCATAGCTATCACGAGGGCTCCATTGTGATCATTGATGTTTCGCAAGCCGTCGAGCACAGTCACCCTCATGCACTTGAGTTCTTGCGGCGCGATTGCCAGAATATCAACGGTGTGGCTCCGACCACCCTGTGCTATTCACTTTCGGGCTTAGTCGGCGGCCACTCGCCGCTTCCCTCATGGTTGCATCCTGTCTAGATTTCTTTGGCAAAAAGGAGGTGGGCGTCATGTCGACGCGTGACCTTTTTGACTTTATCACGGACGTCGCGATCACAGAACACACAGTGGATGAATATCTCGAGGCAGTCCAAGCACGGTCAGTCTGCTTAGTGAATTTTGCTTTGTTTTTCCATCGGCCCCCTTTGTTGCTACAGGTACCATTCAACCTCTTGACTCGCCGATTTCATTTCTCTTGTGGCCATTCTTTGGGTATCTTTGTAGTATGACTCGCGAGCAAGAGGCAGCATCGGCTGATCCACAAGCCCAGCACGAGCTGGAGGTTCAGGATCGCGTATTCCAACAAGTTTACATTCCCAACAGTCTCGATGATGTCGTTCATCTGGAGCGCGATTTGAACATGGCCGCTGCCGGACAGACAGACCAGCTTTACTATCAGGTGTGGCATTTTTCTACCGTATGAATCAATGGCGTATGTCCTGAATCCATTATTCCCTGCCCCTGAAGCTTATTTCCGTTTGGTGCGTAGAAATTGACCGGCATGCGCACAGATCTGAGTGGAGCGGCAGACGCTGTGCCCGAGCTTCTTCAGGAGTACCGCACAGCCACGGGCCATGTCGCTACAGATTCATCCAGCGCTTTGGACAGTAAGACGACGGAAGATCCTGCCGTGGTGTCAACGGAAGAGCCCGAAGCTCAAGCTGCGCAGGCGGAACCTGAGGATGGTATCCAGCAGTCTGCATCGGCAACGAGCACAGATGGGGCTGCAGCCGTAGGCCATGACGGCGAGACTGGTGAGGTCAGCAACGAAGATGACGAGGACGAAGGTGACGAGGATGAGGGTGACGAGGATGACTTTGACGAGGAAGAGGGCGCATACGACGACGATGGGCAGCCCAAGATTCCGAACTTGGAGGGGCTGAGCAAAGCCGTAAGTGCTGGCCATGTATAATGTTGCGTTGGTTGATGTGCCATGCAACTCATTTCTGCCAACTTTGTTCGGCACAGGAGCGGAAAAAGGTGGTGAAGGAGTTTAATCGCGAGCGTCGAGCAGCCAAGACGCCCAAGCATGTCAAGAAACGCAAAGAAAAACTGGCAAAGCACCGCCGCGGCCATAAGTAATTTGACGGATCTTGTCTTTCGACGGTTGAAATTCATTTTCTTGTTCCCTATCTTGGTGTGGCAACGTTATGGTTTGTTTGATGAGCCAGTGTAAATCAATTCAACAAGAATCGAGCATAGGATGTGAGTAAAAAGCGCATCGTTCTGGCGGTGTACTAGTACAATCTCATTCTCTGCCTTCATCTGTGTGTGTGTGTGTGTGTTTGTGTGTGCGCGCGTGGTCTTCCTAAGTCTTGGGCTCTCGAAATCACGGAAAAAGGAGGAGAGCAATCGAGGAACACCAAAAACACAATTTACTCACATTCAAGGAAGGAAAGAAGAAGAAGAAGAAGAAGAGGAAGAAAGAAACCAGGCATGTGCGATGCCAACAAACAATCAACAAACAAATAAACACGGTTTATCATGTGTATGCAAATTGGCCTAAACTAGCGAGTAAGCTAGACTTCCGACGAATTTGAGCGACTCACGGAAGTCGCGTGCCGTAATGGACTCGGGCCGTCACTGTTGGAGCGCGTTGTGCGCGTCTCAGCGGGACTTCCTTCCCCCTCCTCCCCTGGAAAGCCAGTTGAGGTTACCACGCCGCGGGTTTCAAAGACCTCGCAGTTGACGGGTGATGGGGGGGTGGCTGGTGAGGAAATTGTGACGACAGGTGCATGTAAATGAGGAAGAGATGAGACCTCGGTGGTGGCATTGCGGCCATCAGGTTGTTCCGGACTCGATGCCCACGAGAATGGTTGCGTTTGCACATGCTCTGAACTACGGGCCCGTGGACGCGGACCAAATGGAATACCCGTGTTGGACAAAAGGGTCAGGCTTGCTCCCCGCGGGCGAGACGTAGCTGAGTCCACGCCCAGGAATTGTTGGTGAAGATGGGGGTGCTTCACTCCGTCAGTGGCGACGACGACGGTGGGGGGCGAGGTTCCCTGCATCGTGTGCACGCTTAGTGAACGGGGGCGAGAGTGAGCCGATGTTGCCGAGGGTGAGCGGCTGCGAGCTTCAGACACGCGTCGAGCACTGAGTAGTGACTGGCTGCGAGGACGGCCTTGGTGCCCCGCGTCGTCGTCTAGCAAAACCGGGCGCATCGGGGTCTGTGACTCCTCACTGGATTCATGGAGCACATCCCGTAAGCCAAATTGCCACACAAACGGTAGCTTGCTTGAGAGCAAATCAATGGAACGTCGGCTAGAGACGGATGTGGAGCGGGATGCATCCCGCTGATGAGTGTGAACGGGCTGAGAATGGGCGCGCAACGTCAGTCGGGAGGCTCCTCCCAGCGGCGAAACGAATCGGGAGGTTGGCGCAGAACCACGCAGAGGTGAGTTGCGCCCGGCAGGAACCAAATGTTCCTGGGACGGGTGTCGACTAAGAGCTCCCGGATCAGAGGCCTCGTCGTCGCCCTCGACATCACTACAACCTGAGCCTTGATGATGCAGGCGCATGCCGCTTGGGTGCGCCCGGCGCCCGGCCATGGCGCTGTTAGACCAGCGTGGCATGTCTGTGTCTGACTCGGCATCACTCGAGGGAAAGTGGTGAGGTCGATGGTGTGATCTTCGATGCAAAAAGCCCGGAGACACACGTCGGGAAGTAGGCGGGGTCTCAGGCAATGCTTCGAGGTCCAGAAAAGGAGTCGCTGAGGGAGGTGGTGGCGGCGTCACCTTGGGTGAAGCAGTCAGATAGCGAGCCAGTTGTGACTGACGAGCTGCACGGCGTGCTGAATTGATAACGTCGTGCTCACTAAAGGACGAGCGAGTGGAGTTGACCGGTGAATCATACTCGACGACGCTGTTGTAATCCTCATCCACTGCTACGTCTGGGCTGGTCATGCGACGCACACTGGCCACCTCCACGCTATCCATGCTCTGACCCAGTCCAGTGCGGCTGCTGACCCGGCTGCCACCGAGGCTCGAATGAGATCGTGAGGGTGGGCTCATGACCGTCGGAGAGCTGGTGCCAGGATCCACAAAGGGGGTGTGGTCGGCAAAGGTGGCGTGATTAAATGTGCGCAGCGTGCTACGCGTTTGCTCATCAGCTTCTGGGGCTTCTGGCTCTGGCGGTACCGCGGTACCCGGGGGTTCATCTCCTTCGCTGGTTTCTGACTCAAGCAGAACGTCTGTCGTGGGCTGGTCGTCTGTCAGATACTCGCCTTGCGCATTTGTCTGCTCTTCAGCCACACTGGCAAGCGGCAGTCGGTAGCGCAGAGCTCCGCTATCGTAGTTCTCATCGAGTTCGTCAATGTCCTGTAGCTCGCTGTCAAAATAGACGTCACGGCCCAACTCGGGTTCCTGCGTCTGCGCTGAGTCCAAACGGCCAAGCCCATGCGCTGCGACTAGCCGAGGGCGGCTTCCATGACGGTAAATGCTCAGGTCGCCCTTGGACAGGGCCGGGAAGGCAGAGCGGGAGAATCCATCTGGCAAGTCAATCTCAGGTGGGCGGCACTGCAGCTCGGCCAGATCCTCATCGGATAACATCAGAGGAGTGTCGGTTGGCAAATACTTGCTCAGGGCGTGGTTGCGTTTGGCCTGTGTAGAGAAAAAGGCGCAAGCAAAGCTTGTGAGTCATGTTGCAGGCTCGTCAAGAGGGAACGGCCGCGGTGTCAAGGCAGCCAAGTTGCTGCACAACGCACGTGTTTGATTGCTGGGTGGGACAGCAGCGTCTGGGCGTCAGGCCTGAATATAAAAAGGCAAGGAAAGGGTGCCAAAGTGTGATTTGAGTTCACAAGCCGTTCATCATTTCGAGCGCGAAAAATACACGGTTCGTGGACCCAAGCAAGCCAACGCACCTTTCGACGGGTTCAAAGCGCATGGTCTCGCGCACAAAATTGCGATATGCCTTGGAAGCCTTTTTTTGCGGGTGTACCTCGACAACCATGCCACGCAACTTCACGACAAACACCTGGTCGTGGTGGGGTTAAGATGAGCCAGTGCGCCGATGGTCAGGCTCGCATGGTGCAGATGTATCGTCGCTTGTACGAATGAACCACAGGGCATGTTACCTACATGTGGCAGCTGGAGGCCACCATAGGGATGCTCTCCGTGGATCAGCTCAATGGCCAGAATGCCAATGCTATAAATATCAGCCTGTCAAAACAAGGTTGCAAGGTGTCACAGTGTTGTTGGCGGAGTATGAGCGGGCGCGAGTCGGAATTTTCTGCGTGGCCCACAGCAGCAAAGGACACAGATACAATGCATGCGGTGCTGCTCGATCGTACTCTGTTATCATAACCTCGCAGGTCCTGATAAATTGCCGAGCAAGTGTATACCCGATATGAGCATGAGCAGGCCGGCTGTCTTGAATAGAAGCGACAGGAAGCAGAGACCACACACGCCATCAAAAACAAATAGGCACACCTGGGCTAGGACTTCTGGTGCCAATAGCGGAGTGTCTGTCAGGTACCGGGGGCACTCGTAAAGCTGTTGCCTGTGCAACCGACCGAAAAGAGCGAAACAGGCTGGTCAGGGGCGAAAGGTAGTCGAGTTTCCAAACAATCAAACACAATTGGCAAGCCTTGCATCCCTTTCTCTGTGCTGTTGGGAACAGCGGCGAAGCAGCGCAAGGATTTGACCCACATGGGTCGAACTTCATTTCCGTGCAAAAAAAAACAAAACAAAACAAACTCAAAACTCAAACCACACAACACTCTGTGAACGTACCACATGACACCATCACCTTCGCGTTTAAGGCAGTAGTGAAAGTTTGTAAGTTGTGCAGTGCCTTGGCTAGTCAGTACAATGCTGCTGGGCCCAATTCGGTTATGCACATAGCCGTGTTTGTGTAGAAACTCAGTGGCCAACAATACGTCCTGTGGTGCAACAAGAAAGTTGAGCTGCCTCACCGTTGCCGTTCGAGGTGGAGGAGTCCAAGAGTCAATGATCGAATGATATGAGGGAACGACAGATGATTGCAATAAGAATACACATACGCGCAAAACTGCAACACAAGCAGCCTCCGGCATGCCACTTGGGTAATACACGTCAATGATATCTTTCAAATACCCTATAGCAGCGAGAACCCATTCGCGAGTCGCAATGCTGAAGTGACCAAGTTTGCCAACGCGCCCTCAAGCCCAGATTGTCAAATGGAAAACGGGTGTGTGCAAGACAATGAACGCCATTCGAAAGCGGGTAACGCACCGTACGGTAGATATGGTCCCACCGACCAGAGCTGATTGCCATGAGCTTCAAAGCAGCTGAAAAGTGGGTAGATGTTTGGGTGGTGGAGTTGGCGCGAAAGCTGTAAAGCCTTGATCTGCTCGTTCCCATGACCATGTTAGCCGTGTGAGGCGAATGCGATCAAGCATATGGTCGAGGTTGGCCTGTAGCGTGGGCAGCGAGGGAGCAGAAAAGCTTTACCTCTCGTTCCAGAGCTTGCTCGTCGAGAGACAGCACCTCAATGTTGATAGTTCGTATGGCCACACGGTCTGAGCACGAATCGTAGAGCGAGCATTTGGCATGATCAGGTGCAGGAGCGACAACAACGAGGTGGATATAAAGAGCAGACAAACGATCCATTTTAGCAAAAGCAGATGACCCAACACCAAAAACGGTTAGTGTTCAAACCTCGGTCATCATCCTCATCCTCATCAGCGGGGGGAGAGCCAGAGCGTGGGGAGATGTTACGATTTCGAATACCGAGGTAGGTCTCGGCTGCCAACTCGGTGTCCCAGTCTAATGGCAACGAACCAAGTGTGGCATGCGCGTGAAGACAAGGTGTGCACAAGAATGTGCAATGGCCAACTCAGGTAAGATGAAGCGCTGGCTTTGTGGGAGAGCCAACTTACGAACAACGCAGCCAATGTGATAGTGGTCAGGGTCACTAGGATAAACGTCAACTTCCCGCTTGTGGGCTGTTTGCTCTTCTTGGTTTCGGCGCGACCAACCAAAAACAAACCCAAAGGGATTGAGTGAAGATCGACGCTCGTGCTTGTGATGGTGCTCATGGTGTTGGCGGTGTGCTCGATCACCGTCGCTCGGGCTTGATTCGGTTGCCGGTGATGAGTCAGATCGAACGATGCGATGGGCGACCGCACTCGGGACAGCCATGGTTGTGAGTGGTCACGCACGCGCTGAGCTCGACAGAGGTCGTATATTCAACGGTATCAATCGTTGTAACCCACCAATGGAAGCCCATTTGCGTGGAGCCGAGGCTGGACCTTGACAAGAGACAGTGGTCGAGGGCCAGAAATTGTTTCTCACGCCAACATCAACAGATGCAGCGACCCGATCACTGATGGGGCAGGTGCGACAAACAGCTCTCGACGCGCGTTGGACCGCGCGCGAATAATGTCGTCAACCATCAAGTGCTCGCTCTCTTGAAGAAGCGCGACCGTCTCCAAATCAAGGGGAACCCAAGGAAACAGACGGCCAGGCACGTCGCTCTGACGAGCGCCACACCCCACTTTTTTTTTTTTTTTTTTTTTTTTTTTTTGCGACCGACGGCAAACCGAGGTCCAATGCAATCACGAGAGAGTCTGAGACCCGAATTGAGATCTTGGACGAGCCGATTGCGTCTCACGCTAAGTCAAAATGCCTCTAAAGGCGGAGTAGTAGATGTACTCTGAGGCTGTGGGCACCACCGTCCAGCCTCTGGAACACCTCCGAAGAACGCACGTAAAAATGCCAGGAAAAAAAAAAACAAAAGGAGAGCGAGAGAGTTTTTAGAGAGAGAGAGAGAGAGAGAGAGAGAGAAGAAAGCAGTTGAGTCATTTTGGGTCAACCCAAAAGAGGAGAAAGAATAGAAAAAAAAAGCCAGTTGTGAGTGCATCGAAAAAGGAGATGAACCCAGACCGAGTGGTTCAAGCTGTCGAAAGCACAAACTGTGCGGATTGGTTGCTAGCATGACGGAGGACAGAGACTTGAATTCTGTGGCTTTCGATTTCGTTCAGGGCCAAACAGCAAGTCAAAAAACGTAAACCTAAATAAGATTCTACATATGATCAAGACCGACCGCGACCACGACCACCACGGGTGCGGCCACGACCACGACCACGACCATGGCCTTGGCGACCAGGTGCATTAATGTTGGCATTGGCGTTCAGCATGGGGTTCCAGCCTCCGCCTAGGCCCATCAAAGGGGGTCCAGCCAGGCCGTGGTTTGCGCCAAAATTGGGAAGAAAGCCTTGTTGCTCCGGGCCCATAGCCGGGCCGATGTGAAAGCCGCCTTCTCCGAGTCGCATGTTACTATCGCCCATGTTTATTGCACCAGGATGATGTGTCCTTGATGCCATTGCCGTCAGTGACATTGGGGCTTGCATGCTCATATCAGAGCCGCCCATGTTTAGCAAGGGACCAGGACCGGGCATGCTTGAACCCATGCTCATGGGCAAGCTCATGGAGACGTTGGGCCCACCAGGGACCATATGCATGACGCCAGAATTCATGGCGGGATGCATGTCCATGTGCATGCCCGAATTCATACCAACATTCATGCCCATGTTTGGGTTCATAACCATCTGCGTGCTCGAGTCCATAGTGGGGTTCATGCCCATGTTCATGCCCATGTTCATGTGAGGATTCAAACTGGGGCCCATGCCTGCATTCAGGCCATGGGTGGCACCCATCTGGGTGCCCGGACCCATGCCCGAGCTCATGCTCAAGCTGGGATTTACGCCCGACGGCATACCCACGTTGTTTCCACCCAACATGGGATGCATGTCTGAGTTCATGTTCATGTTCATGTACACGGAAGGTTGTAGGCTCGGCTGCATACCCGAGTTTGCCATGGCTGATGATACACCACCGTGAAGATCCGCGCGAGAAGCCGGCAAGCTAGGCATGAATCTGGGGTCACCTTGTTCAGCGTTCGAGTAGGTCAAATTTTGAAGTTGCATGTTCGGAGGGTCTGTGCCCCCAGGTGGCTCGTGTTGATTGGAAAATGAGCGGGGATGTTGGCCAATTCCGGGCCGATGACTGCAGGTAAGCGCACGGGGGAAGCGAAAAGCACCTGCTATGAGCCAGACACAAATGAAATCGCGAGAGTTTATGCAAGGGAGTGATACAAACTTGGCAGGTGAGGTGGCGCGCGGCGAAGCAGCGGTGCTTGAGCTGGGTGACTCGGGCTCTGATAACCGGCCACCATAGGTTGAATGCACAGTCTCACTGCGCGGCTGTCCTCGGTTGAAGTCCATGTCCCTGTGACTGTCACGAGGGGACGGAGGTCGCGCATATTGATCGTGGTTGCGCTTCGATGAGTGGCGCGCATGAAGAGATGACGACCGATTTCTTGGCTGTCGGGCATCAGGAGAGGGGCTACGGCTCAAGTTGCGACTTTGACTAGGGCTGCGACTGCGACTTCGACTAGGGCTGCGACTGCGGCTGCGGCTAGGGCTGCGGCTGCGGCTACGACTACGGCTGCGACTACGACTAGGGCTACGGCTACGACTACGGCTGAGGCTGCGACCGCGACGAAAGCTGGGGCTGCGACTGCGGCTGCGGTGGGAGAATTGGGGCGAGCGGGCCGACCCCCTGGGACTGCGCCTGCCAATGGGCAATCGATGACGGCTCGATTCATGGTCGCGGGGCACCCGATGGGCTGAACTGTCCACAGGTGGACGCACAGATGACTCATGTGCTCCAAGAGACGTGTTGTCAGACCCTGGCGGGAAGTCCGGTCGGGCCCGCTTGGCCGGTGGTTCTTCTCGCTTGACAGATGTAGTTGCTTGAGGTGTAGGGGCAGCATCAATATCCACTGTCTGGCTCGTGCCAGCAACTGTACTAGCCATCGGGCGGCCCACATTAACTTGGGCCATTGTTGTGGACTGGTCCATGAGGTGAAGCAGTTGGAAAGCAGAGCGTTCGTTCACTTCTTGCCCGGTCTTGCCGCGGCCCATTGAGCTATTTGCATTGAGCGTGTTGCGGAGATGCTCAAGCGAGGAAAACGGTACGGCGTGCCTACATGGAAAGGTTCGCGGTGTCAGCCACGAGAGGTAAAGAAAAAAAAAACAAAAAAACAAACAAACAGAAAAAACTCTGTTTGCTTGGGATAGAAATTAACGAACGTTGCAACCCAGGCCAGTTCCACGTTGTACGGAAGCTTTGCATCCTGCTGGTCACTCTCACGATTGGTATGCACCATGTTGACCATGCTGCCAACACGACACAACGGTACGGGGCATGGAATGAGCGAGTGCCCCATGCCTTAAACATGAATAGACTGAACCTTGACTCCTTTCCTCCCTCTCGAGAAAGATTAAACCAACCGTGCGGCTCCCACAAACTGCTTGGTGGGATGATCGGCGAGCAAAAAGTACACGTCGCCATGCTAACAAATACACGCAGGTCGGCAGCGTTTCACCCAGGTCAAGGAGAAGGCATGAGTGGCGATGGAAAGCAGTGTCAAAAATGCATTCGTTGCACAATACGACTGTTCTAGTGGTAGTGACTCAATCATACCTTCCACGACGCATTGAGCTTCCGAACAACTGTGGTGACAAGCGTCCAACGCGAAGCTGTCTCGCCAAGAATAAAGTGTCTGGCCTCTCGAATCCAAAGCAAGAAAAACTTGCGCGCTGGGCGGCTGCCTTGTAAGCAGGCAGGTAGCCGGGCAGGCGTGGCGCGAGGCCCGGCTGAGACGGTAGGCGAGGCAAATGAAGGGGGCCCCATGGGTGGAGTGGCGCCAGTCATTTGGTCAGTGGCGGGCGCTGTTGCTGTGTGACTGGGTCCGGTACCTTGTATACCTGCACATACGCAACCAGAAATATATTATCAAGCTGTGAGGCTGGTAAAGGAGTGTTATTTCTGGCACCACGAAGGCTCTGGCCGGTCATGGTGGATGAAAAGAAAGAAAAAAAATAAAAGCAAAACAAAAAATATTTTTTTTAAAAAAAAGGAATAAAAATCACCCTGGCAGGTGCTCTGACTTGGCTTCATCTAAACGTACCAGCAGTGGAGAGCCGCTCAAAGATGCTGCGTCGTGGCGCAACTTTGGCGGGCTGCTCGACGCCACCATTAGCCACAGACCTGGCGTTCGTAGGAGGTGCATTGATCCGTGAGCCTGATAATCGGCCTTGCAGCCGTGGTTTGACTGTTGAGGGATCATCTGCGGAAGGAATACGGCGTGGTCTTGAAGACGACGAGTGAGAGTCGCGCACGGGGTCTTGTGTTCGCTCAGTAGGACCAGGTTGCTCGGGAGCAGTTGTTGACCCGACGGAGGTAAGGCGACCAGAGGTTGGCAGTCGTGCATGTGGACTGCGTCGCCGATCAGCTGGGTGGCTATGCTCTCGGCTGCATGCGCGAGGATAATCACGGTCTCGAGAGCTGCTTGGTCGATAGGATGGTGCTTGATCAAGTTTTAGGTGATCTTCACTCTCAGGTGCTGAACGCGCATGCTGTTCGCGACCCACGGGCATTGATCCTGGGCTATCATTTGAACGAGATGCATCGGCACGGGTAGCCTATGTTGTTTGGCAAGTTGAAGTTGATCAGAACCCCCGAAATCAACAACAACAACCGACAATGAAGACATGAAACAGCGCACGAGACAGGAGAGGGGCCAAGGGGAATCATTTCTAGCATGGCATGTAATCAGTCATCCACTTTCAAGCACCTGGTCTTGAGTTCGACTAGCCCGAAAGCCGGGAAGACTTGCGCTGGATTGTGAGGTTGTGTTTCTAAAAGAAGAGTGAGAGATAGGAGCAGGAAAAACGGAATCCTTGGTGATGCGGGCAAATGTCGAGGCAATCAGTGGAAGGTCGGTTCATGAGTATGCCAGAGCTAAACGTACAGCGGCTGAGTTGCATCTGCACCAGCGCCGGAGCCATGGACTTTGGGTTCGGCAGCACGGTGGGACGGCGGTGCAGGTGGGGGTTCAGATCGCTGGTGCGGTTGAGTATGCAGCTTTGAAGCCTGTGGGGGATCCGTCGGCTCGTTTTCTGCACATGTGTATGCCAAACGTGTCCAGTGCAAGGTGAGCGCGCCGGCATGGGCCGCATAGTATGCTTCTGAGCGCTGGCTGGGGAAAGCGCGGTACAAACCATAGAGCAGCTCGTCGACAAAATCGAGATCATCATCGCGTTCCCACAGCTCGGCCAAGTCATCTATTTTCGTGCAAGAGTCAAGTGCAAAGGAAGGAATGAGCGGGCAAGTCGACCACGACTTTGGGCATGGATGGGGCATGGACCAAACAGAGACAGAGGAAGGGTGTGATCATGAATTCGTTGTTGTCATTATTGATTATTGAAGCTTTTTTTCGGAGACTATGAGTCACTCGCAGACGCACCGTCCATGCTAGCGTTCGGAATCCTCCAATCGCAGAGGGGTGAAAGGGCGGGGAGGTCAAGGTCTGAATGAACCTCCCCTTCAGCGACCTGGCTGAAAAGCGATCAAGAAACACCGGCAATGGGCCTGATCAGGATCTTGTGTGAAGATGCCACATGCAATGCAAATGGGTACTGCGTATGTAATGCCAGTGCCTTGAGGAGCAGGGTGGCAGACAGGGAAAGGAGATGCCAGGCGCATCCCTCGCAACTGGATTCCACACACACACATCAAAAAAAAAAAAAAAACCGACAACCGCCACCCGATTTTCAGTCTACGAAACCAGTGACCATGACGGCGATTGGAGTGCACACACACACACACACACACACACACACACACACACACACACACACACACACACACACACACACACACACACACACACACACACACACACACACACACACACACACACACACACACACACACAGAACCTGAAGAGACAAGAACACCAGTCAGTCAAACTCGGAGGCAAAGCAGGATTGAGCATCATTCATCTTCTTCTTGTTGATGGAGTGGCATCGGGTCTTTGGGTGTCGGAAACGCTGTGGGACCCGAGCTTGTGCGAACGTGGTCTTGTGGGCATTGGGTGTCCTACGTCTTCCCGCAGCTTTCCACTGGCGGGTCAGGCAGCATCAGTTCAGCGTGTCGCAGTGCAAAGCTGTTCAAGTTGTTGAGAATTGTTTTGATTTGAGTTTCTTGGTGTGCCAATGGTGACGTGGAGCTGAGGTCACGCTGCCCTGTCACTCTCCAGAGGGTGGCAAAGGGGTGGAAGAACTACTAGGAAAGCACGCATCTGGTACACAAACACACAGACATCCCTGCACATCTCCATGTTTGCCCGCCTTTTCCGTAAGAAGGGCGGAGGTGACGCCACGCCGGCTGCTGGCTCGGCCAACAAGCCAGGCCCGCAACCCGCAGCGGCCTCAGCCACAACATCGTCACGGGACAGCGGTGCCAAGAACGCCATGGCAAGAAAAGAGGGTGCCGCTGTTGCTCCACTTGAAGGTGGCGCTGCAGCTGCAGCCCGAGCCGAAGCACGAGGGGAAGAAGACCGGGCAGCGGATATGCGTGCGCATCTTGCGCCAGGCGACGCCATGTTTGAGGCAGATGCTCAGTCGCCAGCCGTGGCCGCTGTAACCCTACAGGACACTGGCGCCCTCTTTTGTATGTTTTCTTCGCAGAACTCTTCGTTTCCTTGTACCTTCTTGCATCGTCCTCTGCTTTGCTTTGTTCCTCCTTGGCATCGAGCTTCTTTGCTAACCCAGGCTCGGTATTATTCCAACCCGTGCGCTCAGATGCCGATGGTGGGGCCAGTATTTTCAAAAAGTTGATGGAGGAGGTGAGTATCATGTGTGCCGTCATGTTCGTGCGCCTCGTCTGGCGACGAGTCGTTCGTGCACGTTCAACCTCTTGGCCGTGTCTATAGAAAAAGCAACACACGCCCCTTGAGAAAGGCTCGTTGGTGACGAAAGTCACCAATACGCCCGACTCGGTAAGTTGTGACGTGGCCGTTGTTGAATGCAACGGAAGCGGCTGGATCTCCCTTTGTGTGTGTGTGTGTGTGTGTGTGTGTGTGTGTGTGTGTGTGTGTGTGTGTGTGTGTGCGTTCTGTTTTTGCCCGTTCCTGGCAGCCTTGAACCGACTCATGGTCACTCCGCTGGGTCAGATCCAAGGGCGACGCACCAGCGCGGCCGATGAAAAAGTTGGAGGCCGTTCCAAGATGGTTATGCAAAAACGCCTCATGCAGGAACTCAAGCTGTTGGACAAGTGTACTTCCATCAAAGACGGGGTCTTCGAGGTGTCTCTTGTCAATGACAACCTCTTTGAGGTGTGTGGATGCAGTCCGCCTCTGCAAGCCACACCAGACACGGTGTTGTCAGCATCCAGCTAACCAGTCGCTCTTTGCTTTGCCAGTGGGATGTCATGTTACACAAGTTTGACCCTGACACGCTCATTGCTCACGACCTTGAGATGATGCGACGTAGCCATGGCGTTGGCAGCATTTGGCTAAGGTGAGCGTCGCTGTCGAAGCCGTGATCTTGGGAGTCCTGGTCTGATGCACGCCCACCATGTGGTCTCACCATGTGCCATATTCCTTCTTCTTTGGCCGGGACGCCGCCTAGAATCAGTTTTCCGCAAAATTTCCCCTTTGTTCCACCGTTTGTGCGAGTGCTCGCACCCGTGGTGCACGGCGGCTTCGTTCTCTCGGGAGGTTGGTCAAGGCTCAAACCGCGCAACGAGTCACACTCAAGGTCTCCGGCTTGCTGACAATGAATGGCATATACCTTGCTTTTGGCGTGGTTTGCATGTGCATTTGCTTGACAATAGGAGCGGTGTGCATGGAGTTGTTGACGCCCGACGGTTGGTCTCAAGCCTATCGTATGGAGAGCGTGATTTTGCAGACCATGTCCACCATCGGCAAGGGCCAGGCTCGGATTGTGCGTCAAGTCCGACGGCCCCTTACTGACGAGGAAGCCAAGCGCAGCTACGACCACTTGGTCCGCGTGCACAAAAAGCATGGCTGGCATACACCACAGCCCGGGGATGGATGACATTTTGCTATATGCGTCCTTTCTTAACGATGATGCATCTTCTCGTGACATCAAGTGTTGTGCCAGACGATGCTTTACCTTGTATTCCAAAAGCAACCGATACACCATATTGGGGGGCGATCCTGCCATGGACGGTTGTGTTTTGCTTGTTTTGCCTGACCTTGCCTTCGCTCATTTTATCAATCAATCAATCAATATTCAAACAAGCGAACGAGTGACGATCCGCAGATGGACAGTCGACGTATCAGTAATTAATTACTCATGACCAGGCAGGCAGGCAGGCAGGCAGGGTAAGGCTGGATGAATGGGAAACGCTTGTCGTTGTACTGCTACGACATCAACCAGAGGGCCCCGCTTGCTTTTGCACCACATCCAATTGCAGCGAGTAGAGGATCGCCCTGGCAGTCCACGCTGGGCAATGACAAGCGAAAGCAGGAGGAAAGAAAAGAAAGTAGGGTAACATAGAGCACAACAAGAGAGAAAGAGAGGGGTCCCATGCAACTAGTTGGGCCAGGAAGAGAGAGGCTTGCTGCTTTAACAAAGTGCGAGCGTTCTGGAAAGGTTTCTTGGAATGTCTCGAAGAGCGAGCGGTATAGAGGCTAGACCTCATCAATGGCAATGGTATCCCGGTTGCCATGATCAGCGAGCATGACATCAGCCTTGATCTTGGCTGTCAAAACTGAGATGGGCGTCACAAACTCATACGCGCCCTTCTCTTGGAGGTCGGTCCAGTCTTTGCGGTTGCGCTTGACCTCCTTGTCGAGGAGCTGCCACCGAACAGGTTTCCAAGCATGGAGGGCGCCATCAACAAGCCGTGGGCAGGCAGAACCAAGCCGACATCAGAGCACCAGAAGGGCGGCAGCGTACCTGAAGGTCCTCAAAGTGCTTGGCCAGCGTGTCATAAACCGGGCCCACCACAAAGTCTAGGAAGCCCACCTAATAAGGCAGAGCAAACGTAACGCGGAGGGAGGCCATGCACACGAGGGGGTGATGTAAGCCGTTTGCCATCTTGCGCTTGCGCCTACAAACGAGCGTGGATGATGGCACGAGGTACCAGGTCCTGCAAACGCACCTGCATCTTGGGCAACTCCGAGACCTTTTGGCGGTTGAGAAGGTCTTGCAGCTCAGAGGCAGAAGTGCCCAAGGCTTTCTCGAGGTCGCCTTGATCGAAAAACTCCGAGTAAACAAGTTCAGCCACGCGACGCTGCGCGGGGAAGGGTTTTGTGGCTGCAGACAAGTCAGCGGCCGTCATGATGATGTTGCGCAGGAGGAAGTGGTGGTCGGGCTTGGTGATGTCAAAGGTCTTGGAGTCAACAAGCTCCTTGTACATGCTGCGGTGCTTGAAATGCTTGCTCAAGTCGGTGGCAAGAATGGCCTTTTCAATGAAATGGACGACATCATTGTACTCCTTGGAAGTCAGGTGCTTGAGGATGTTGTGACCCTCGGCATTGAGAATGCTGATGGCACGATCAAAGTGGTGATGCTCCAGGGTAGACGTGGAGTACAGGTCGCCCAGGGCGGTTGAGTACTTCTTTTCAAAGGCATTGTTGGTGCCTCGGTGGTCCAAGTCGTGAGAAAAGCCAGCGACCAGCAAGCCCAACTTTTCAAGATCGGTAAACTGCGTCTTAATCTCCGACGAAGAGATCATGCCATACAAGAATTGTCCAACGTTGAAGGCGTGCTTCCAGTTGTGGTAGCGCACGTCACGGTAAGACCGACGAAGACAGATCAGCCACGCACAGAGCGTGTCGTGGGGAATGCGGAAAGCCCGCATCAGACCACTGTCGCGGAACATGGCCTTGCAGGCGACCAATGTGGTATCACCTTCGACAGTGAGGGGATCGAAGGTGATGCTGCGAAGGCGGTGGGCCAGCTCCTCTTCGGGCTCACGTTCCATGAGCTCTTCCACCTCACGGGGGTGTGCACGCGTGTGGTAGGAGATCATTTCCAAAGCCACCTGGCGACGCGCAGCATCCCGCTTCAGCTGATCGTACAGCTGAGCATTCTGCAAGGCCAAACCGCAGTAGGCCGCAAAAATCTCAAAAGACTTCTCGTCGCTGTCATGAAACGGCTCAGTGCCACGCTTGTTGACAAGCTGAGCAACGGCCAGCACCACTTTGTCCGCGTTGAAAATGGGCATACACAAAATGTTGCGCGTGTGGAAGCCAGTTTTCTATGCGTGAGCATGGCCGGTGGGTATTGAGATGCCAAAGATGCTGGTGGAAGCAGGTGAGAAGGTGGTGAGGCACAGGGGTCGATACCTCATCAATGGAGCGGTTGAATCTGTCATCGGCGTACGCATCCGGGATGTTGAGGGGCTAGACCATGTTAAACCGGGGCGCGTGAGTAAGGATGGGATGATACCCGCAAAGCTCAACTCTAATGGGCGGGCACAAAGTCGACTGATAGCTGCTTGGCAACCAACAACAAACCTGTCCCGTGGTGGCCACGTAACCCGCAATGCCCTTGTTGGCTGGAAAGCGGATGGTATCATGCTCATCCGCCATGGCACCGCCGTTGGTGACGTCAAACACCTTGGCTGCTAGCTCATTGGTTTGCTTTTCGTACTAGCCAGGAGAAAGACGGCCGCACGCATTTCATAAGAAACAGTGAGGGTTGACACTGTACCAGGAGGCCTTGGCTGATGGGGACACCCAAACGCTGTTGTGCCGGCATTTACCATGAAGATGGAACAGCGCTCGCAATCCATCAGATCGGCCGCATGTTGCATAATGTTTGTCATGAGCTGAATGAGGTGTTGCCAGGTTCGCCGCCAGCCAAGAGCAAGGGTCATGAGTTCAAGGCGAGGGTACACCAGGGCAAGCGCAGTGGGGAGTACAATGTGGGAAGCCTTGACCGTCAGGGTGTGCGTGCGCGTACCTGAGTCAGGTCGTTGGTTTCCATGAGGGCAACATTCATGTCCAGCATGGCGCTGGAGAAGCGCTGTGCCTGGAGCAGCTCCTTCAACACCTATGCAAATGTCGTGGACATGATGGTTCGGGTGAGCCGGTTGCGCAGCTGGGTCAAGAAAGGCGGCTTGAGGACATTGGGGAGCCAAAATGACCGCCAGGCTTGCCTTGACCGTGCCGACGGGGTCCGTGGTGACAAAGTCGGTGAGCTCGGCCTCGCTCTTGCTATGCAACGGAATTTCATCCTGCATGATGCCCGAGGAGAGTGATTTAACACGAATGGAGGCCGCTGATCGAGCCAGGCGCTTGCGGGCGGGCGCGGCCATTGCCGAGGCTTCTGGGTCCAAATGAGTCGCCATGTCAGCAGTTCAACGGTGAGCAGAGGCGAAGGTTCTGTCGTGAGCGCGCCCTGGACGGGACTGCACGACTGTTTTGATGAAATTGGCAGACGCAACGTGGGTCCACCACAAACAGCAGTGATGAAGGTCAAGGCACAAGCGCCACGACCAGAGCACACGTTCCTTCCTGAAACGACCAACTCTTGCCGACAGGGCACGAGGAGAGGACAACAGAGCAGCGGAAAGTGTGTGTGGGAAGAGAAGCGCGAGGCTGGTTTCCAGGTCCAGAGCAGAAAAAAAAAAAAAAAAAAGGAACAGAAAAGTTTACAAGGCGGACGAGCTGAACAAGCAGGTCACAAGGCACGCGAAGCAAATGCACAAAGGTCGTGCTTGTAGAAGGGGGAATCCAACCGGGCAAGAGGAGAGGTGCACCAACAGGAAACCCAAGCAGCGGGCAGGACCTGGGACAGTTGTGCAGAGGTTGGGTGGGGGAGTTATCGCTTGGCAGGTTTCTGTTGTATGTGTCTGTGTGGGAAGACACACTATCGCGGCAGGGCAGACAAGCCAGAGCTGGCACATGCATGGACCAGGGAGCAGCTCTGTGTGTGTGTGTGTGTGTGTGTGTGTGTGTGTGTGTGTCCCCTCGAGGGCGCGCGCACTGGTTTGGCACCGCCCTAAACCGCTTTTTTTGTTCTTTTTTTTTTTTTTTTCCTCTCTCTCTCTCTCTCTCTCTCTCTCTCTCTCTCTCTCTCTCTCCCAACTCACCTCAAGGTTAAAGGGCAAAAAAAGAAAAAGAAACGGAATAAATTTCATCTAGATCACTTCTCTGATTGAATGTCGCTTATGCCTTGAGATTTTGCTCCTTGAAGTTGGCGAACCTTTCTCCTCTCTGACGAGGTGTTTGTCATCATGTGGGGGAAAAGGGTAGTGGGTGGTTGGGGCTTTCGTGGCTTTCGTATGGGATGGTGCCTCGGTCTGCTTGGCAACGGCACCGAGAGGCCTTGGTTATCATCATGCACATGGACATGGATGTGCGCGTGTGTGTTTGTATGTGTGTGACTGTATGTGGCGGTGGTGGGTGATGGTCCGTGTTGAGCTGCCCTGCCCAGCGGCAGCGTGCGTGGTGGTCGTGGCTCGCGGCTGTGGCAGCGGCAGCATTTTGGGTCTTTGGGGCGGCAGCGTTTTTCGAATGGTGTGCAAGTTGCTTTTCATGCTACGTGCACAGCTATGAAAGTTTGCACTCAAGTGTGTGAGAGTGCAACATGACGCGTTGGGTGTTCGTGGGTAGCGATTTGCACACCGTTGTAACAACAGCCTGTTGGTGGCGCGTGCGAGGACACGGCAAAACGGCGGTCCCAGAGACAGACGTGAGCGATGATGGCAGGGGGTCCAGCACCCTATCAAAAGATACCGCACCGACCTTGATCGGGCTGCCTTCTTCCATTGCATACATAACACACGCATGACTGAGGTAAGGACCAGCATGAAAAGTAAAATACATTTATTCCATCTTGTCAAGATATCTGACATCCATTGCTATCTGACAATCTGACATCACCCCCTTTTGACTTGCAAGCAGTTTTGTTGTGTTGCTCCCTGTGCGCGAACGATTTGAGCTGCTGTTCTTCTTCTCTGGTGGCGCGTGAGGCGGGCGCATCCGCTTCCTCTCTGGCCCACCGGCTCATGGTGGCCACGCGCACATGGGAGACGATCACGTGCGAGGAGAAGAAAAAAAAACTGGAGACGGGCAAGTGTGCTTTGTGTGCTGGCCCGGACACTTGGACGTTTGTGAGAGGCCTTGCCACCTGAGCTGGTATCCCTCAAGGTTGCTCCAGCTGCGCGGGCCCAAAGTCGCCGTCCAAGACAGCGCTGCAACCGGCTACAGCCTCTCCCTTTGTCGGAAAGAAAAAAGGATACGGCCCCTTTTTTCGGTCTCGTCTCACGTCTCTTCTCATTTTGCGCCATGGACAAGCGACCTGATCCCGAACTGAGAATGGTCGACTTTTCCGACGACGAAACTCTATGCGATGAAGACGAGGAGGAGCTCGGCTCAGCCTCCGCTTTGGGATTGGCCGCAGAAGGCTCCCCGGCAGCCAAGCGTGCCCGAATCGCTTCACCACCGGTTGCCGCTTATCCCCAAAGCCTTGTCAACACAACGCTGCAGCTCGTTTGCCTGCTCTACGATCCCGATGCACTCGCCCTGGCCGAACAACTGCTACTCAAATGGATCCCGGACGTGACCACGGCTGGTCTACTCTGCCGCCTACCTATTCTTCATGAACTGCACACCTGTACTCAGAGTCCCCATGCCCCCAGTGCACAAGCTGCGATCCACATTCTCTCCTCCGTTGCTTGTTCCCATAAATCTCTCGCTCGCACCCTCCTCTTGACACTTGGTCCAAACGACTTTCTTCAACTTCTCGGCAACGTACCCCGAGACAGCCTCATGACGCTACTTTTTGATTGCCTGACCGAGAGCATGCTGGGAGAGGCCATTTTCAAGCCCTCAACCCCCAATCGCGCCATTCTCACGGCCTTTTTGTCCCGACTTGAGGTCGACATCCTTCGACACGCCCACGCCTCCACTGCCATTGTGCGACAACTCGTTCACCTACTCGTCACGCACATGCAGAAGCGAGGCCTTACCCTCACTGACTTGCTTCCCATGCTGAACACTCGCGATCGTGAGCACATCAAGCTGACCAGCTACTTTCTGTGTGCGCTGGCCAATGAGCCATCGGTGCAGCCCCACTCCGTGGCCAGCTTTGCACACAAGCTCGTTGCGTCCTTTGCTCAACTTGAGCGCACGGCCCTCCTGGCCTGCCTGCAATGTTTGGATCGCGTCGTGTTAGCCCAGCGGCCTCCACGCTCCGCCCATGTTTTGGACCGCGCTGATTGGCATCGACTCATCTTTATCCTCGAGTCCGAACGGCTCGGCTGTGCCTACGACGACGTCTTCGCTCTCACTGCTCGCATCATTTGCGAAGCTGCAGATGCAGACATTGTCGAACCCAGCGTTCTCTTTGACGGCATCAACCTGGACATGTTTACGAGTTCCCTCGAGTCACGCTTGCGGTACTATTTTAGCGCGCAAGTACCAAGCAAGGTCGTTGAGTACATGCTAGCTCTGGTCCAGCTTCTCATCAAGTCGGCGGGCTCGGGCCCGGCTAACCTCATTGACGCGCTGCCCCTGGAGTTGCTCTGCGAGATTATACTCGCCCCGGCCGGGCTTGCCTCAAGCACGCATGCGCGCATTGTGTCTTGCATTCACGACTGCGTCATCTTCAAGCCAGACGTGGTCCCGCGACTTTGTACCGAATCAGACTGCCTGGTTTGGTTTAGCCGCTTCGTCGACGACCGCAGCTCGCCAGCCGAGCGCGAGCTACTTGCCGATGTCCTGCGCCTGCATTCTGAGCACGCTCGGGAGCTCAAGTCTATTCTTGGCAAGACCGCTCACATTGAAGCGCTGCACGCGCTCATTTGGAAACCCCCCGCCAATTGGCAACGCCACGTCATCTGGATGCTTCGCTATGCCTCTTCCGGAAGCGAGCGCCGCAAGGAACAGGTTTTTCGCCTTGGCGCGCAGACCATCCCCGCTTTGGCCCAACGCCTCGGCCAGGACCTAAGTCCGGGTATTCAAAAGGAGCTGGCTGCCTTTTTCAAGAGCCTCACCTCCATGGCCGGCGCACGCAAGGACAGCATCTTCGGCTGGCTTGACTTGCCGGCCGTCAGCAGCCTCCTCTCCTCTCCTTTTGAAAGCGTCCAGGAGCACGTGGCCGGCCTACTCCGCAACCTCACGCACGGCGACACGCACCGCAAAGAAGCCGTTTTCTCCGCCATTGACCTGGACATTCTCATGTCCCTCCTCTTCTCTCCCTCGGTGCGCGTCCTACAGTCGGTCACGGGTTTGCTGCAGAACCTTTGCACCCGCAGTGAAGACCGCCGTACCACCGTTTTTGCACACCTGCCTCTCGAGCAGGTGGTGACGCTCCTGCGCCACCCAGATGTTCGAGTTCATGCGCCAGCAGCCGGCCTTCTCATGAACCTCTGCCGCCAAAGCCATCACCGTAAGCAGAAAATTCTCACTCGCATGCCTCTCAGCACGCTGACCAGCTTTTACGACCATGGGCCACCGGACCCAGCGCTGGCAGACCAAGCTAATGGGTTGCTCCAACACCTGCGCATGGCCTTTCTGGCAAGTTCGCGGGAGGCGCTCCAACAATATCTGCATGATGTTGTTCACAACGACAACGATGCGTAACACCGCCCGCCCGCCGTCTTTGTCGACTGTGTATTTGTAGCCCCACTGTGCCTGTGCCTGCGCAAACCGCTTCGATTGCGACGCATTTTTTTTTTGTGTTTGTTTGTTTGGTTCAGACTACTGTCTGTTTATCGTTCGTGTGATGGCACATCCTTTCTCGCCTGCGGCGAAGCCCTTCCTTTGCATTCTCTTCGACTCTGTGTGTGGCTCTGGTGCTTTGTGTCAAATTTGGGTAAAGCAATTGACGTTGTGCGTCACCGTTGCTGAGAGCCTCTCTCTATGCATGCACCACCATGGCCGAATGTCACGATTACGGCTTGGAGCCTTGTCTCACATGTAAGTAACTTGAACAAGTAGCGACATGCCCGTGCCATGGCTTCCCACGGAATACGCGTTGCCCCTTCCACAAACGAGCAAGTGGGAAATGAGAAAAAAAAAAAAAAAAAACCACAACACAACACAACTACATGAAAACAAGAGGAAAAAAAAAAAGTCAGATGCATGCATGTACGCATTGTAACCAGCAAAGGAACTTTCAGCAAGCCGCGCCTGAACACCACATCGGCAAAGACACACACTTCCTTATTTTTTTTCGAGAATGCTCCACTGCGCCTGCAGCAGAGTGGCCAGATATTGATTGACAAGCACCCGTGTTGCCTGTCGCTACTTCGATCCTCGCAACCAACCATTTTGTTTGTCGCACCAGCTTGAAGAGCGTCACAGATCATCGCTCGCATGGCGCGGAGGCAAGCTGGGTGGCGGCGTCCACTGCCCATACTCTTTCTCTTGCTCTGTCTGGAGCAGGCCACACGAACAACTCCAGCGCCAGCCACCCAAGCGCGCTTCTGTGCGCTCCCCCATGGCAAAATCCGCAAAGACTCCACGTCAGTATCTGTGCAATCAGCGATTTTCCTTTCTGCAGCCTGCTTTCGTCTTTTACGCGAGAGCCTGGCGGAGCCTTGTCATGTCTCACCAAGCCTTCCCTGCCGCCACGCGCCACACATTTGGCGCAACTCGCTTTCAAAATAGCAGCTTTCAAGGTGGCTTGGCCAACAGTGTTGGCTGCGTAAATGGTAAGAGCCCAAGATTCTGCTGCAAGTTGGCTGCAACAGGTGACGGCTCTGCGTGTGGCTCAACACGCCCTGATTTGCATCGTCTCGTCCATGTGGTCCTGAAATTGCAGGTATCATCGCCGCCAGTATCCAGTATGGCCTCGTGCCCATCTGGCCGGTCCTGCTTCCTTCTGCGCACGGCATCGATTGGGCCTTTGCCAACTTTTTTGTAAATTTGACTGAATCACGCCAGGGCTCTGAACGATCAGAATCCGTCCTGTTAGTGTCCGCACCAGGCCAGGCTCCAGTCTTGCTGCATATCATCCACTAAACGCTCACCCTGCTCCCCGTAGTGCATATACGATGCCAGGTTGGAGCAGGCGTGCCATTGGAGATCGCACCATTGTACAGCGTGGCGGTCGTGACATGTCCATTGCTGATCGTGGGCCCAAGTTTGAGGAATACGTCAGAGAGGTACCAACTTCCACATTCAACACAGATTGAGTGTCTCGCCCAATCCTGCTTTTCCCTCCCACGAGCAGGCATGCAAAAGTGGTCTAATTGCTGTCGCTGCCATCCCGGTCCTTTCCGCCTTGTTGTTTGAACGATGCAGAATCTTCAAAAGATTGACGTATTTCCTGAAGAGGCGCGACAAATCGCAGAGCAGAAGTGTGATTATCTCCTATTCTATCCTCAACTTGGCCAAAAGTGCGACAAATCCTTCGATTTTGGTCACACTGAAGATCTCGTGCGTCTTCGCTACTTGGGGTACGTCTGATCTTTTTGCTTCGAATTACAAACAGTCCGCATCCTTAAGCCACAGCCACAGTGGCAGCTGGTCACGCATATGGGATCGACCATTCTAATCCAGCTGGGTCCAAAAATAGGGAAGACATGTTGCCGCCTCGCTATGTTTCGGACTGGTTCAACAGCCAAAGTGAACGCCCCATCAAAGTTGCTATCCACCATCGGTACAGTGCCAGCTCCGTTGCTGACCATTGCTGGTTGCGACAACAAGAAAAGGGTCTGCCGCTTCTCATCTGTCATTGTTCTGTGCACCGCTTTTGCAAACTTCATGTGTATAAGGCTGGGTGATTTGTCCAATCTAAAAGTGAGTTAAAAGCTCCAGTGAGAAAAGCCATTCGACAAAGACTGTGTGCTCTAAATGTTCTTTCGAGTATCTCATTCATATTCACCTATGGTCTTGTCCGTGTCTGATTCTGCGCGGGCGCAAGGGCCCAAGCATCTGGAAGGAAAAGCGGTTGCGACCGGGCTGGCCTTTGGCTTCGCTTAGCCTCTTGACCACCATCTTGGACCCTGCCTGCTTGGATGTCAGCCTGCTTAGCGATGGCAAGCCAGACGTACGTGATCCGGGTCAATTGGCGGCCTTGCCCGCAAGATGATTTGCACAAGTCATGCTCAACCGCGCAAACCACGTCGAATGTTCCACGTTCCACACGCCATGGATCGTGTTCCCTGTAGGCCAAGGAAGCCGTCCAGATACAGAACTTTGTTCGCCAACGCGGTACTTGATGCATGCCACCATTTTGAGCCAACTCCCCTAGCGCCAGCCATCACTTATGCTTCTCCCCACCTGTAACCAATACTGTCTGGGTGGGTGTCATGTAGGTATGCAGCTGCGACGACCAGACACCAGCAGTTTGTCGGAGGAAGGCCACACTGTCCTTTTGCAAGCTATACGAGGTGGCAGTGGCGGCCGCACCACGCGTTTTGAGTTTGACGTCATGGTACGAGCCTGCCCAACGTGCCGCATTCCAGCGACTTGCATCGTCGACTGTTGGAGCTTTTGTGCCCCGTGCCTTGCTTTCTCTCAACGGCTTTGGTAATGTAATGCTTATGAAGGTGCATGCCGATATTTTGATCGCGGCCACATCGGGATTTTCGCGCTTGGCTGCCATGCTTAACAATCACACTCGAATGGCCCCCGAACTAGAGTCCCACCCGTTACACAATTTTGCTGGTCCGTTTTTTGTTTTCCGTGTGCAAAGCTCCAACGGCTCGTGCCAATTGTCATTCAGATCGCCGGCTCTAACTTTGGTATCTCTCGGTATCGTTAGGATTAGTCAATGTGCAGCCCTTGCCAGACTTCTGGGACTTGAATACATATGAAAATGCTGTTGCTAGCGACAGCCTGAATGATTATGTGGCCGCAATTTCTTCCCAGCTACAAGGTCAGTCCACCGGAACCACGAATACCACTTGATTGCCCTCGAATGTGAATTGGGTGACGGTTGCCCGGATTCCTTTTGATTCCTTTTGATTCCTTTTGTTCTGTGCAGAGCAAGACTACGTGTCGCACTTGCGCGCCATATTGATGCAGCGCTTGCCAGCTGCCGTGATGCGGCGGTGCTTACAGCCGTCATCCCCAACAAGCTCACGCAATATTCATGATGCGAGTTCAAAGAGTGAGAATCCTGCGCATGATAAGCATACTCTGGTCAATCAAATTCGTGCTGTGCTCAATAGTCACGGTCATGGTGACAACTCAAAGGCCGTACAGCAGCTGGAGCGCCTTGCAAATATCAGTGACAATTGAGCAGGATATAGAGATCAGTGCGTGGATGCAGCCATTCACAATGATATCGACTTGGGTATGCACTCCGACCCGCCAAGCCAGGAGATAACTTGAGATGATGTGTACCAGACAGGCTACCAATTATGAATGTAGATTGTAGAGTTTGATTAGCGGGGGCGTAACATAGTAGTAAGAAAACAAAATGGTTGTTGGCAAAATCATTGCCTTGGCCCAGCACCAGATCTGTGGAGCTGACACTGGCAGCTGTCTTCATTTAGAGAGTATCATGCATAGAAAGAAGCACACACACACACACACACACACACACACACACACACACACACACACACACACACACACACACACACACACACACACACACACACTCACTCACTCACAGAGGAGAGCTGCCTGCACAAAACTACTCGTCGACAACCAAAACCGCAACAATCGCTGAGCGAGGGCACTGCTGCTGTGCAGCCTTGAGTTTGTCTAATTGAAGCTTGAGGCGCGTGACGCAGTCCCGGTGCGTGGCCTGCATTTGGCGTTGCGCCTGTTTCGATTGCCGAGACTGCACCATAAGCTTGTATAATGAGGTGACATACCTTGGGAGTAGGCAAACAAGTAGGATCGAGCACCAAAGGCAGATCAAGAAAGCCGTGAGTGCGGTCGTGCTACAACTGGCGCAATGTCCCAAGGCACAGGCGTACCGTAGTTCCTTGAGCGTCTCATGCAGGTTAGTTCGCAGCACCGGCAGTACGTGTGGCACCTTGACTTTAGCTGCAGCAATGCGCCGGATGCATTCGGCCACCATGTCGTGCATGGCTTCAAGACCTTGAGTTTGCTCGCGCGACAGGGCATCCACTGCAGTCACCATGGCTTTCTTACGTGACAGGGGCATTTCACTCAACGAAGCCAAGCGAACTAGGTCCAACGACTCGGCCCGCTGGTACAGCAGCGCATCACTCGGTCTGAGATTGCGTACAGCCTGCTTCTCGGGCTGGGCCGACAGGGTGGGCAACGACATGCGCGCTGCGGCGGTTGACGGTGCCGGCGAGTCCCCACGTAAGGGCGATGAAGTTCGGCTCAATGGGCCCTGTGAAGTGGGGCGTAATGAGCCACCGAGGGGAGTCCTGTTCCGCGAGCGTGGGTGGGAGCTGGTGGTCAAGAACACCTGAGGGGAGCGCGACGGCGAATCGTCTGGGGCCGGAGTGACTTGCAGAGGCCGCGGTTGCACAGGGACGGGCGAGAAGGAAACATCAGAATTGCCATTGAATGTGTCCAGCATGTGTACAATGTTGTCATAGCCGCTCGTCGATGGCAGCTCCACGTTGTCATAGTTGCTGCGGCCGCTGCGGCTGTGCGTCTCGCTGCCCGTCGACAACGCAACCATGCGCGGGGGGCGGGGGGGTTGCTGCTCGCCAGGTCGAACAGCCATGGGCTGGTACAAGGTGCGGCTGGGTTGAACCTCAGGCGAAGGTGATGCTTGCCCTGGGTGCACAGGCTCACGTGGGGCCAGTGGTGAGACTCGACGCGCGCTTGCTGAGACACCCGTCTGCTCTGACCCATCATCACCACCAAGCGCGTCCCCCATCGACAGCGGAGTGCCCTCGCGTGACCTCAAGGACATTCCGCTGCTGTATGCGTCATAGAGCGAACCATCATCCAATTCGTCTCGTTCCGGAACCTCGTAATGAACGGCCAGAGCGGCGTCTGGGCCAGGTGCATGATTCAGACGCAGCAGCTCATATGCTATGGTGTTGGCTATCAACTGGCCGTGGATACCGCTGCTGGTGGTCAACCGCAGCTTGATGCCTTTGAAATCAAGGCGCACCAAGGGTAGAGAAGAATCAAGCTCAAGGTTCTCAAGGTGCAGCAGTGACAACGTCTCCATGACACTCAAATCGTCCACTCGCAGGATGATGATGTGACCCGCTGTTACACGTAAAAGACTAAACTCGGACACTTCCTCTCCGCTCTTGGATGCTCGCTTACTCAAGCGATCTCGGATGCGCTGCCAGACACTTTGGCGGGGACCATCCTCGGAATCGGCCTCGGCATCGAGCGGTACGCCGGATGTACCACCGGGGACAAAGCGCATATAATCACTGATGGCCGAATTAGCACGAGCAAGTGGCGAGGATTCCTCGCCGCAGAGAGGTGAAAGCTGCGACCGGCAAGAAGGGGCTCTTGATTGTAGCTCTGCTTCCTCTTCCTCCTCCTCCCCCTCCTCCATATCAACCTCGCCGGGCATGCCCCGCGTTGACGACCGACGCGACGTCCGGGACGGCGAGCTGCGCGCCGAACGCATGGAACAGTTTGCTACATCCCCGGCCCCATCTTCCACATCGACGCGTACAAGCCAGCAGGGACGAGCAGCCGTGTCCACTTGCCCCGAGAGTTGACCAACAGCTCGGATGTCTTGCAAAACGAAGGCGTCCGCAACTGAGGCGCGCGCGCCAACCCGAGAAGCTGGTAGGCGGGCATAGTCAGCAGCGTGGGCTAGAAAAAACTGGCCGGCGTTCTCCACGGCGTTGGTGGACAGTAGCGTTTTGCTCACCACATCCTCTAAACGGTCGCCTGGCTCAATGCGTAGCAGCGCGGGGCGACCACGATGGGCGTTGAAAACTTCGATAAACTGACTCAAAGAGATAAAGCAGGGCGGACGCAGAGCTGCGTCGCCGGCACCACAGCTGCCACCACTGTCATGGCTCACAGCGAGACTGGAATGAGAACCTCGACGCGTGCGACGGCGCCGCGACAAGGGATCGCCCGGACCAGACTTGTTTGTAGCCTGCTCCAGCCAGCGATGATAAGGCCCAAAGAGCTTTGCTGCCTTGTCCGTGATGCCCTCTTCAATGTTGATGTGCAAATTGAGCTGGAATGGTAGCCCATTCGGACCAGGCACACCTGTGCACGGGTTGCTGGATACGTGGGCTGACTGCCCGGCACCATCGAGACCATCGCTTGCCATCCATGGTCCCTCATCCTCGTCATCGTCCGTGGCATCCTCGCCCTCGTGGTCGTTTGAGCATGGAAGAGTGTCGGTACCAAGGCGAACACGTTGGTCATCCAACCCAGCACCCACAGAGCCTACTTCACCGTCTGGCGCAAAGCCGCCGTAGTCGTTGCTTATGCGGCGTGGGCGCTGAGCTGGTGAGGTACCAGCTGTGGCTGGGCGCGAGGTACGCCGACGAGAGCCCGTGCGGGAGCGCATGGTGGTCTCGTCACCAGTCAAGCGATCCAAGATGGGGTCAAAGCTGATGGTGCGATAGCCTTGCAAGAGCTCAGCGACAGGAAAACATGTCTCGTAAGAGACATCCTCGAGGGTTTTGTTGCCCATCTCATCCACAACCTCACGAGTGCACACAACACGAAAGCAAAGCATGGCCACCGCGGGCCGATCGACCGTGAACTCGGTACTTTGCATCCACACCGGTGAAACGGCTTCATCTGCATTTGGAGCCTGCCCATAAACTTTAAGGGTAGAGAAACTGCCAGTGGCCTACGAGAGTGCTTATGAGATGGACTACAACAAATAAATCAGTCGTCTATAGGTCACAGCCTTCTCACCTGGGATTGGCTAGCTGAGAAGAGTTGCACCTCCACAGAGTAGCCAGCGTCCACCATGGGCAGATTTAAAGCCGACATGACGGTCAAGCCAATCTGCCGCGACTGGCTGACCTCGCTGTTGAGCTGGCGATCCAGGCTACGCGCCAACGATTATGAGGGAAAGAGGGAAAGACCAAGCCAGATCCAACGACGGGCTAACGAGTATAACGTACGTCTGAGGGTCTCTCATCCAGATGGGTTTAAGCACAAAGCCACAGCCCCCGTTAAGGCGGCTGAAAAAGTTGTGGTAAAGGCGCTGGAAAACATCTCGATGCTGCCAGTTCATGGCCAGCATTTGGCATCCCGCACTCCATGGAATGAGTGGGTTGAAATTGCTCGAGTCGATGCTGCAGGAGAAAATAATACAAGCATGTACAGTCGTGTGAGGCACGCGGCACAGGAGACAGACTGGCACAATAGGCACGGTAAATGTCGTACACATTGCATCAAGCTTTTTGATGCAACCATTATTCTGTTGCTTTGACCAACAAACGTACCGACGGCCGGCTGGATACACGCGAGAACATTTCCAGAGATGATGTTCCAAAAGCTTATTGAAGCGTAGTACCGTCAAGCGAAAGGCCTGATTCAATCAGCGGCCCCGCACCACATGAGGCCAAAAGCGATAGAAAACGATACACGCCTATTATCGCCGAGTGCCGGACAGCAAAAGCACGAACCTGACTCTCTTCAAAACTACACATTTCGTGAGGATACAGGGCAACTTCCACGTTTGCGTGCGCATCTGGGGCGACAACCACGTCTTGTTCGAGGCGAGGACGACGCCGACGCGATTGCGACAGGCGTCGGCGCCGAGTGGCGAAGACGGAAAACTTGACAGCTCGCGTATAGATGATGAGATTGGAGAGGCTGGGGTGTACATTGGGCTGCTTGTGCCCAAACCTGGCCAGCTCCTCTACAGTTTGGTAGCAGTGCGCATGCTTGGCGGCAATGCCATCCGTCAAGAAATGATTGCGCAGGTCAAGGTTCAACGTCGCTTGAGAGGGGGTCTGAGACCTGACCCTCTTGAAGATGCGTGACATCATCAGCGAGAAAGAGCCCGTTCGACTGCGCTGCGGCTCATCAGACTGGACCGATCGGCGGTGTCGGGGACCACGCCCCATTGAGCCGCTGTCACTGGCACCCGAACGGTGAGAGCGTGTGCTGGCTTGTGCCGGCTGATCAGTGGCCGACGCAGAGGCCGACATCCAGGCTTCGGCACAGGCAGGCGGAGCATCGTGTGAACCAGAATAGCTGGTGTGGGACGACAAGTGACCGCGCGTGCTCTCTTCATTGCTGCTGCCCTGCCGCTCATGGCGTGCTAGACCACTGCCAAGGCGTGAGCGTCGTTGGCCCTGGTGGTGCTGGGCGTCAAATGCGTCGCGTGCTGGCCGATTGTGGACAGCCCCAGCCGCATTGGCTGCCTGAATGGCCCTCATTCGCTTTGTCGAGCCCAACGTCCGCCGCCGCGCGACTGCACCGGCTCCATTTTGTGCTCGAATGTCACGAAAGGTCGCAGAAATGGCTGATGGTGGCACTTCATCATCCGTAGCCCAAGGCGAGTCAGAAGCATCCGAACCAATCTGGATGTAGCCACCGTCTGCCTCAGCCTCGCTGAGCTGAAAGCTCATGCATCGAGATCGAGTTGGTGAGGCTGCGTCGCTTGGATTAAGCGAAGACGGAGATGCCTTATCGGACATTGCCTCATCATACGAGGTCCTCTCGGCACCCAGCTCACCCAAGATTGGCCGACGAGAGCCACCGCCCTTCTGCAACCCCAAGGCTGATGCCACGCCTTGAGCCGGAACAGATTCTGTGCTTTCCATGGGGGGTAAGGGCAAGCCCGTGTGCAGTAGCGATTGTCGTTGAGTTTGAGTCGTCGAAGCTTGGCGGTGCATGGCCAAGCGGTAACTTCGGCGCGCCAAGGTTTGTGACAAACGCCGAGCAGTGCCGCGGCTACTGCTCCCGCGGCGCGACCGCCGAATATTGTTTGATGCGGGAAAATGCACAATGTTTTCTCCACTCGAGTGACTTGCCCGCGCTACACCAAGTCGTGAGGGCAAAGCTGGGCCGGGGGCACTGGCGCGACGCAAGGATGCCAGGTTGTCCGATGGTTGAGTGTCGTTGGGTAGCATGATTGGTGAAGAGGCATCGCCGGGTGCATTCTGATGGCGCTTGAAGCGGTTTGTTGCTGACGCGTTTGAAGGTCCAGGTTCCGCTGCTTCTTCGTCCGTCGACCAGCCGTCTTCTACACTCTCGTAAAACCCGGGCTGCAAGCTGCGATCCACTTCGTGATCCACAGGTGTGACAAGGTGATTCACATGCGCAACACCGTCATCGCCAGCGATCTTTGGTTCGGTTAAGAATGTTGCACTGCCGAGACGGCCAGACCAATGGCCCAGCATGTGCGACACGCGGCGTGAGAAGCCACGAGGTGACGTGCGAACTTCCATTTCCACTCGCTCTACATGCCCAAACATGCGCACTGTGAGCAGAGGCCGAGGGCTGCAAGGGTCGCCGAGCATGAGCAATGAGGGTCGCACCATCGGCCACATCTTGTTCAACATCGCGCAAGAACATGTCCTATCGTTGGTGGCACCAATGAAAGCACACGTCTCAAGTGACATCATCGAGGAGTAGACAAGAGCACATGCCCACAGCACTCTACTTGCAACCCCCGTAGCAAGTATGTGGCTCTTGAACGGACCGAAATTTCCTCGCGCGTGGCATTACGAATGCGCTCAGCTTCCTCGTCATCATCCTGCATGAGGCGAGGTGGCCGCATCATATGAAACAACACTGACATGAGCCAGAAGATCCCATTTTTTTACCAAACAAGCGGTTGTAGCCAAACAATCACACCTTGAGGGGATCGTCGAGCAAGACATCAGGAGTAGGCAGATCATGTAGCTGTACTAGCGTCTCCTTTTCGGCCTGACAAGCGGAAAGTAAACAAATGGACAACATGAGCCACGCCTGGCACGTTGCAAAGCAGCAAGGCATGAAGGCTTGCATAATATGTGATGTGATGATACCTGCGAGAGACCCAGTTTTTTGTGCTTGAGAAGAATTTTGCGCTTGAGTTGCTCAGGAGACGGCACTGTAGACGGGCTGTCAAGGTCGAGAAATCGGTCAAGTAAGAGATCTCCCAGGATGTCTTTAAAGTATTGAGCGATTTTGGCTTGCTATTGAAATGATGGAGCATAGAATGAATGATAAGAAAAGCCCATGCTCTCGGTCCACCAAAGATTTGAAAGCCAATGGCGCCGTCATACCTGAGGCAATGAGCAGTGATCTTCGAGGGACAGAATTACGGGATATTCGGAACGCTTGAAGGCACTGTCGCGGATAGCTTCAACCACGTGCTTGAATTTGACACGCGTTGTCAAGGTGTGTACGCCCAAAGGCGTGGTAAAAGCGTGCGTAACTTCAGGCTCGCCATCTTCGCCGTCCCAGCAGTCAAGCTGCACCCCAACGAAGGTGACAGTTCAACAACCATGAGTACAAACCACCTCGAGACTGAACCGCTCTCTTAACTCAACATGTCAGCTTACCTCGACACAGCGGCAGCCCATCAACAAAATTTGTGCGTACATCTCAACGGAGGACCGGCCTTTGTGCTACACATGGCAATTTTAGGACCATGTCCCGGAGACACGGCAAGCAACGCGCAAGTGTGGGTCAGATTCAACGCTCTGGCGGGCGCTTCTCTTGGGACGGAGCACCTCATGTGACAAACTGACCTGCTGATTCACAACGTAGGTATCTGCAGGAGATGTCCAGCGCATTGTCGCAACGTCGTGGGATGCATGAGTTCAAGCAAGTGGGCAAGACTGGCCTGCTTGATTGCGTCAAAGGAATATGCATGCTTACTGTGGCTGGAGCTAATCCAGTAGTGGTGCCAGGGCTGTGTCATATCTTGACTGACCACTTGATGGGATCGATCGATGATCGAGGAGAACTCGGGACGGCGCATGATCCGCACAAACCTACATGATAAAGCACGTCCCAAAAGTTGTGGAGGAAATGGCATGATGATGGCCAGGCTCCCAGTGTGGGAGGATGTTCATGCGACAAGCAAGTTGAAAGGGAAAGCCGCAGAACATGGACAATGTCGTGGCATTTTTTGGCCAAGAGATAGACAACAAACCCAAGAAAGCTGAGCTCGCCGCGGGCGGCACGAGTGCTGTCCGGCTCGGCCTGATCCAAAAGACCAAGGCTTTGCTCGAGTGAGAGTGTAACTCCTTGTTCTTCCTCCATAAAATCTTGCAGCGTAATAGGCGTCCAGCTGCGAGAAAGAGAGGGACCAGACCCGACCATTGCAAGTCAACAGGGGACGATGTATGATGCGAGTGGGCTTGCACAAGATATCATCCGTATTCTCAAGGCAGCAGTTTGAGACACGCTTGAAAAAAAGGCAGGCCTTTTTACGACGGGGATGGGCTACATACGTAAAGTCGGGAGACTGGCAGCGGGTCAAGAAGATGGAGCGCAGATCGCGGCGAGCTTGGCCTACATAGGCATCGTGGATCAACTCAAAATGGGCAAAGGTCTTCACCTAAGAATTTGATTGGAAGATACACACTCGTGAGGGTTGGCTAGCGCCGTTGCAGAGCAGCCTGCAGTGTGGGACCTCTTTGGTGTTGTGGTCGGACGGCGGCAAATGGAGGTCAATCTGTTCTAAAATCTTGCTCGAGAGTTGGTGTGATAGCATGGGCGGGGTTGGGCTGGATGGTGCATCAGGAAGTTGGCCGAACAAAGATTACAAGAGTTGAGGCAGATTTTGCATGTAGAACATTGCATGCTGTCATCCCGTGCGAGCTGTGACGTACTCGCTGGGGTTGATTGAGTCTTCGTCAATAACGGAAGCTCCAAAATGACCACGTTTGAGGATCCGCAGGGCAAGCTGAACGACATGGTTTTGTCAAGATGGTCACTGTAACGATGGTGTCATACCGGAGACAAAACATGCAA